GCCTTTCCAGCAAGACAGACCAAATCATGTTCCTACACCTGTGTTTATTCGGCGTTTCCAAAGAACAAATTATTAGATCCTAAACGCTGTTTGGCTGTGTATTTAAAACGCACTGAACAATTTTCGAAATATAGGTACAGAATCTGATGTCACTGAACTATTTCTTTCGGTTAACAAAACCTCATCGACCAGTTTACAGCACAGACAATTTCAAGATGGATTGTCAAAGTTATCAAATATGCATACAAGAACAGTAAAAAAAGAACATTAAAAATGTGAAAGGTCACTCAACGAGAAGTATAGGTCCTTCTTGGGCACTTTTCCACGACGGTGCAACAGTGAAAAGCGTGATGGAGTCCGCTGACTGGTCTAAGGAGACCACTTTTGTGAAACATTATTTCACTACTTGTAAATGTAGATTTTCTAAAAACTACTCGTGATAAATAGACGAACTGTCAGTCGTATCTTGGCGAGTCGAATTTGAGGAAATTTCAGTGTTTATAGTTTTTTAAAACTGATATACGTTTAAGTGTTGTACATATGGGTTGTACAGAATATATATACTGTAGATTGTATATAACAATGGGATGTACAGTAATATTGGTTTTTAAAGGTACTTCGGGTACAGACAGTGGGTTGTACAGGATATTTCATATGGTATATCACCAGTGGGTTGTACAGGATATTTCATATGGTATATCACCAAGTTGCATTCAAGTATTTAGATATTCAAAGATGCCTGAAGAAACAGGATTCAGTACTTAGTAAGTACATTTTAGAGTTTATAAACTTTGTTATTTTGGGTTTATATTGTTTTTAGTATATTGGTTAAAACTGAAACCCACCTTCCTGTTTAAATATTGCTTCCAAATCAGATTAAATTCTGAATGTAGCATTCTAGGTAACGTATTGTATGAAATAAAATTGATAAATTTGAAAATCAAAGTTATGATTTTATGAATACAATACTTCCATAAAAGAAAAGGCCCCCAAAAATGAAAACCCCCCTCCTTCCCCCAAGGACCTTCAGGGTTTTTCAAAGGCGATTTGGGAGGTCCCCCCAAGAAAAACGGGGGGTTTACGTGGTCCCAAACCCGGGAAATGCCTGCTTGATTGGTTATCCCGAAAATGAAGGGGTTTGGGAAAAAACAAGCGAGTCATAAAAATAGGTCCCCCAAGCGAAAAATTTTGAATGTAGCATTTCCCCAGGTAAGGGAAATTGGGATTCAAAAAAATCAAAAACCCTTTATTTTCCCCCAAATTTTTCAATTTTTCAAAATTTATTAAACCAAAAAAGGGGTTTAATATAAAAAAGAAATTGTATTTTTGCTTTTTAGACTACGAAAAAGCCTTCCATAAGTTAATAGAGGAATTTTTTTTTAAAATTTTTAAAAAGGGGGGAATTAGCAGTAAAATGGTGAATATGATAAAAGCAATATATGAAAAAGTTTCGTCATGTGTTAAAAATGCTTGTAAATTTTCAGATTTTTTCGATATATAAATTGGATTGAAACAAGGAGAGCCACTTTCACCGATAATGTTTATACTCTTCATAAATGATGTATGCAAAAACATTAACCTTAATAGGTTATCAGACTATGATCTTAACCAATTATGTGTATTTATGTTGCTTTTTGTTTTGGAAAACTTGTTCCGGTTAGGTGGTTTCCTGCTTTCATTTGTTAGTGCATGATTGAACGGGAAACCAGCTGCAATCGTGCCAATCGCAACTTTTCGGCCCTTTCCGTCACTCTTCGGATAAATGATAATAGCCGATGTAGTTCCGATTGCAATCGTGACAATGCGGGCGATTCCGTCATACTGCGGAATCAGTAGAAGTAATATTACGGAAATCTAAGCTATTTTAGTTACTTCGGTAATCCCAGTTTGTTTATATAAATAGGATTTCTATTTTTACTTGATTCCGTTTCAATTCTTTTTCAAGACGCAAAAGTTAGTTTCTTTTATAATTGGTTTTTGTCTTTATTAGTTTTATACAATAGAGAATGGTTACTGTAGTAGTATTCCGTCTCCAAAGGGCGGTCCTGCTTATCAAAAGATCGTGACCGAATCACGCAGAATATAAGTGCATGATCAAGTTATATTTAGATCTACTGACAGAGTTTAAACGTCTTGGTGAGGTAATCTAAAAGTAGCCCATGCATATCATTTACCTTGCCACGTGCTTGATCTCCTGTGTTGTCGATCATATGATATTTTAGGTGTAACATAGTTGATACATGCTTATTAATTTGAACCACGTAACGAAGTCTTTTAGTGCATTTACTTGTCTCTAAAGCTGCTATATAAATGAAATTAGCAACTGCCAAAACGAAAGACTCTCTGCGAAAAAAGTGGAAATGAAATGTGCACACTTGTTTCCCTTCAGTATGATAGATTGATCTCCACGTGAGAGCCAATGTTAGTATTTTTACGATTGATTATTTTCTTTATTAGTTTTATACAATAGAGAATAGATTTCGAATCGTTTTTGACAAAAAACATTCGTTTTTACAAAAGAAAGTTGCTACCGTTATCGTCAGCATGTTCCCGTTCAGTTATAATCAGTGGACTTCTGGTCCCTATTTGGTCCAAATTTGCACGCATAACACTGGTGCTCAAACAAATGGGCACAGGTGCTCGTCCAGTCTTGGGCTTACCCTACATATCCCTTTAAAAGTGAAACTTTTTTTTCGAGAAAAAAAAACAACTAAATAAACCCTTTATGATATACAAATACCGTAATTAAAAAAAATTGTGATAATAAATTGAAACAAAAAAAATTAAAAGGGAAGGGATTATGGCACAACTGAGCAAGCCTTTCCTTTTAAAAGGAAACTTTATTGCAGATGATATGGTTGTATTTTCTACCGATCCTAATACTTTACAGAATCACCTTAAGTATGTATATGAATATTCGAAACAATGTGGTCTTAAGATCAATATAAAGAAATGAAAAACGTAAATCTCGAGAGCAAAGACAATTTTACATTGATGATATTGTTATTGATATTGTAGACAGTTTCTGTTATCAAGGAGTGACTTTTGTTTCAAATGGTAACATTGCTAAAACAACTAAAATTCTTTCTGATCAGGCTTTAAAGGCAATGTACAATTTTTTAAGTCTTTTTACAAGAATACATGTCGATATTATAACGAAGCTTAAACCGTTTGATTCCCTAGTTGCACCAATATTGCTTGTAAGTATGGGGAATATATTGTCCTAAAGAGGTTGATAAGATTCACATAAAATTTTGCAAAACCATATTAGGTGTGAAATCGCAGACTCCAAATTACGCTGTTTTAGGTGAATGAGGGGGATTCCTCTTATAAGTCATTTGCCAAGAAAAATCTCTCAAATATTATATTACACTAAATAAAAATCAAATCCAGAGTCATTAATGTGTAAGTTATTTTCTACTGAGTGTAATGGTAATAATGATCAAAATTGGGCTCTCTCTGTAAAAAAAACTATTGTATAAACTTGGTTTAAATGATATATGGGATAATTTTAATAAAGATGTAAACTATTTTCCTACTTTGTCACTAAGATTGAGAGATCAATTTATCCAACATTGGCATACGACAATCAATAATTTGCCGAAATTATCTTATTATGTTCAATTTAAAACTTATTTGAATCAGAGGAATAACTTAACAAAATAAAAAGTGACAAATTAGTGAAACTGTTTGCATCCTTTAGGTTAAGCAGTCATAATCTAGCTATAGAAACTGGTCGTTATCGAGGTATAGATAGACAGAATAGATTGTGTGAACATTGTACAATGCATGTTGTTGAAAGTGATTACCACTTTCTTTTAATCTGTACTCATTATTCTGAAATTCGCAAGAAATATTTTCCAAACACAGCATGGCCATCTTTACCTAAATTTTATAGTTTAATGTCAAGTACAAAACAGTCAACTTTACTGAATGTATCGAAATTTTTAAATGAAGCATTTTTGAAAAGAAATGAAATTAATATGTAAGTTAATGCATGTCATATACTTTAGTCATATACTTTACTGTTTCTCCAAATCAGCTTCGCAATGATGTAACGATTATGTAACAATTATATGTCATTTGATGCATGTGTGATGCTTTAGCCGGTGCTAGGGGGCGTGGACGGTAACTTGCACTTTCCAGTACCGTCCATGAACAGGCTCAATCAAACCGAGCCTGCAACATTTTACAATTTTGCCGTGTTGGACTTTCTTTAGAGATTCTGTTTTTCACTATTTTATTTGTATATACATGTATATTGTAGTTTGTTAACCTTTGCCAGAGGCATTTTGTATGCTGATTATTGCAAATAAAATATTGAATTGAATTATTGAATTTGATACATATAAACAGTTTAAATTGAAATTAATCATCGACCGTTAAAAAGCACTAATTTAATACCTAAACATGACCAACAGTAAAACTGTCATTTATGGCATACTCAGCTTAATTATTTTATTACAAATATTTTATTTCAACATGATGGTTATTTTGACTAGATGTTATTACAAAATAGTTTGTCTCTTGTTTTAAGAAAATAAGTGTAAAAACTGAGCATTAATGAATTTACATAAAGCTATATTTTATAACATGATGGGTACCTTAATCCTTGTCATGCAAGCTGCAAGATAAGCCTTGTGTGTGTGAATGATAGACAGTAATAACTATGTGTCGTGCACACCAATTCTTTCAATAAATGATAAAGAATTGATAAGTTTATTTAACTTCTGATGAAGACAACAGTCGAAACTAGTAAAGATTAAAGAAATATGTGTTGTTTTGGTGTATTTTAACTGTTTAACTTCCTTAAAAATCTTTATTATATTATGTTTTATAATATCGTTATCTAAGTCTATTATAGGTAATGGATCATTGCAGTTTAGCAAATAACACGTACTATACAGGAGAATGACACAATAAAATCAATGATATCTGCTGTCTGCAAATATCTACGACAAAGGCAGTGGTATTAATTTCCTCTAATATTGATCGTGTGCGTGGGTTCATAATTGTATTGAATAGAGAAATTATTTTGTAATAACATTAAAGATCTGTTACGTAACATGGGTTATTTTCTAAATTAATTTGCAGTTAATTGTTCGTCAACTTGCATTGATGTAAGTAGCTGTATCCGACGATTTCCGGGATGATGAGCCAGACATTTAAATATAGGTTAATCTAGCGTGAGATTTACTGATACAATATTTAAGCGTCGTTTTTACATATACAAAGCGTAACAGAGTCTATTCATAAAAAGGAAAAGGATATTATAAGAATTTTTCTGGAATAAACTGGAAGGTTAGGACCGGTTAGTATTTTATACGTTTTGTTTCTTTACTTAGGAAATAGATATCAATTCTGAGCGCATTGTTGTAGAATAATGCACGGTTTGAGTTCAAATGCGTAGAAATATAATCACGAAGGCCGATAGGCCTGAGTGATTAATTACAAAGCATTTGAACGAAAAACGTGCATTATTATATAATAATGCACAAAGAATTAATATCTTTTTCCATTCTAACACGTCAAGAAAAAATTTAATTATTATTATAATGTTGGACTTTATGTTTGGTGGTTAAATTTGTTTTCGCCTCAGAGTTTCCAATAGAAACGTTCTTTAAAGGCTGTTACAGTGGTATGAAAATCTTCAGTGTGTAGAAACATTTTGAGAATAACGCATTTTGAAAACGTTGATAAAACTTTGTTTATTTTATTTCACTCTATAATTTTTCAAGCGAAATAAAAATGATAAAAAGTGAAAAAAATGTAAAACTTAACTCGTTTGCGACATTAAAATAGCGTACTTGATTTGATTGTTTTGCACGTGCTGTTTGGCGCTACATTGTGACGTCACGTAAACAATACTTTAAACGTCTGTATAGCGTTAACGACTGAATAAAAGATATTGGTGTTCGGATACATTATCTTAGTTAGACCATTTTCTTTCATTCTAGATAGTTTTCACAACAAAATTCGACAAAAAATTGTCTTTATTTATCAGATTTTTCAAACAAAATGGCGCCCTCAATGTGCAAATACACAGGGAGATAATAGGAACGGCGAGTGCATTGTTGTAGAATAATGCACGCTTCGGGCCTTCTTTGTTTATATAGAAAAAAATCCGATAGTGTTAGAATTGTTAATTTGAAATAGCTGTATTGTAAATGATACGGGTCGTCGGTGGCAAAATCAGAAGATCAAGAAGAAGTCCTCTATTGTAAATCGGAGATATATTTTATAAGTCAATGTAGCATGATACTGTCAAAAAGTAACATAAACCGGTGAGGGGGCGTCCGTGTCTTAGTTCGCTGATTGAGGTCGCTGACTTCAACTTGCTTCTCACCGCGCTTGATTCGGATCGCGACAGGGAATTTTGATTCCTAAATGTGAGGAAGTTATCTATACCTAGGTGCCCGTTCGTGCCTGAAATAATGCGAGGAAGAGCACCCAAGGTCTTCTTTCCCCAGTAAATCTGGAAGGTCATATGACCTTTACTTTATTGATGCCACGTACACCCCCCCCCTCCCCCCCCCGAAAAAAATAGATGAATAAATAAATAAATAAATAAAAATAATTAAATAAAATAGAATAAAAAAATAAATAAAACAATAGAAAATAAATGAATAATAAAAACAGAAAAGAAAAAGAAGCAGTGTTCTTGATAGTGATATATATACTAAATAAATGACACAGTTCGTTTTGTTTTTTTCTTTGAATTGTGTGATATTATAAATACATGTTTACCTCGTGACATCTTAAACAATATGATAACGTTTTAGACCGGGATATATAGTGGACTTGACAGCCACGTTACTAGAAAATATATTACATGTAATAGTACAGTTTAATACCTCCGGTTTTATTTTTAAGACATGTATAAACAATTATCAATGGTCTTGTACATTCTGAGATTGCAATATGAAGGTTTTGCACAAATGAGAGTGTAATGTGAATGATTTTACACACTTAAGTGTGAAATATAAACGGTCTTACAAACTTAACAGTGTTATGTAAATGGTCATACACACTTAAGAGTGAATTGAAAATGGTCTTGCACTATAAAGTATGTTATACATATAAACGTTAGAAAGCATACATTAGTTATCTTCATTTCAGACTGTATTGATACATCAATATACTGATTGGTCCAATTGTATCAAATGGCTAACACAAGAAGGGATCGCCAGTGCATAGTGGAGGTATTTCAGCATCACACACGAAGAGACTTTCATATAAGCAGCTTCATTGAAAAACTGAAAAAACACGGTTTAATAAATCAACGGCAATACAATAATTTACATAGCACACATGACGATTCTGGGTATGTACAACTTATCGATCTTCTATGCAATTTGTTGACCCTTCTGTCGTATGACAACATGTGTTTTCTTTTTGAAGAAGAGGGGTATACTGATATCGCCTCTAATCTAAGAACAAAAAGGTTTACAATTCGTTACCGGAGACTCCCACAAATAGAAATGCCTCATTCCAAACGGACTCATGATTACTACCAACATATTAAAAGCTGCATAGATAATAATTCGTTTTGGGGTGATAATAGAGTAATATTAATGCAATTCATGCACAAACAAGATGAAAAAATCATGATGAATAGAGATCAAATATCGAACCATGATCGACAGTTTGCCATGGAGCGAAAAGCAGCAGCTACAGTTTTACTAATTCAACATTATAAAGACATTGAAGAACGCAAACGAATATTGCATCAAGCAATAGGTACAGAAACGAACGGGGTTGATAATACATCATTGCAAATTGTTTTCCATTCAAAAATGGCAATAACAGAAGTTGAAGCAGGTAATATTCGGAAAGCTGAAGAGCATATCGTTAAAACAAAAGAGTTCTGTTTAATGTATAGACCTTGTTTTGCAATAACATCCGCGTTCCATGACATTGAGTATACATATAAATGTCTTTACTTTAAAAACCCATCTGACGAAATGTTGGAAAAGATTCTCGTTGAAGGAGATATAGCTATTCAGAGTTTGAATGAAGAAAGTGAGGACGTTCAAAACCTCTGGAGAAGAATAATGCTATTGTTTATGGTATTATCATTGTTATTCATAACAGCAGATTTCGTGGTTTGCGACATAACGAAGATCAAAACAATTCATAAGAAACGCGCAAAGAAAATTTTGAAAGAAATTAAACGCTGCAGTCATGAAATCCAAATTCGGCGGCAAATGATATTAAATCTGTGTTTAGCCGTGCTCGAGGAAGAAAAAGATATTAAAGCCGCCGAAATGTATGCGAAACATGCAGTAAACAACGCAGAAAACGGTGGTTGTTTTCGTGAAATAGAAAAACAAAATGTTAAGGCATATTTGAAAAGTATTCAAAGCAAAATGATTGCACAAAAAATAAGAACATGTTTTATGCTTGTTTCTATTATAATTGGAATATGCTTTGGAATTCACTATTTCATGGTTTATTTCACAACTGATGATAAATGTATTGTATTCCTAATATATTGTTCTACAACGACTATTTGTGTGGTTCTTGGTAACTATTTTAGTCAGGTTTTACCATTTTCTTTCATGTCACGAGATTAAAAAGACATTATGCATTTTAGATGACTTTAGATAATTCTATGTTTATAATGTACTATAATTATCTCATTGTATACAAGTCGTACAACAATTTAAAACAATGAAAATCACGTGATTTATTTATTATTTTTTAAATTGATGAGCAAAATATTTCAATATTCAATTATTGTCAATAGTTAAATTGCATTCATTGAAGGCTTCATAATACTTACTGAGCTTTTATATTAATCAAACATTTTTTGTAAAAAACTGAAATTTGAAATGCAGTTTAAAAGCGCATAAAATCTGGCTTAATCGCATACATTATAGATATTAATATACTAAAGCGTAAAACCACATACAAATGTAACTTTATAACTCTGTTATATGTTTATTGTTTTCAGTTCAAACCCGGAAGATATTTGAAATATGGAGAGTAATCATGTATTTTTGTTCTGCTTGTTATTTAAAGGTCTATTGCGCAACGCTATCGTTCCGATATGGGGTGAATGCGCATTATGTCAGTGCATTTTATAATATAAACAGTTTAAATCTAAATGCATCGTCAACCGTTAAAAAGTACTAATAAAACACCTAAACATGACCTATATTAAAATTGTCATTAATGGCATTCTCGCGATTATATTTTTATTTAGATCATTATTTGTAAAATATTTTATTTCTACACTACTGTAAAGTCATAATTATACTGTGATAATGTTTTGTACGTTCGTTATCTTGTAAATATGCTTTTATTTTGTCATCATGGGCTTATAAGCCTAATTTTATTGGAATAAATTGTCTGTCTGTCTGTCATGTAAAACATGATTTTTTTAGACATTTAGACAAGATGATATTATAAAATAAGTTTATATTAGTATATTATTTATGAAAATAAATGAACATTAATGAATCTACTTAAGATGTTTTTTATGTTTATATATATTTTTTAACAGGAGGTTTAATATAGAACTTTAATAATTGTCAAGCAAACTGCAAGATAAGCCTTGTTTTTGAATGATAGGCAGTAACAATTATGTGTCGTACACACCCTATGCTAAAAATAAATGATAAAGAACTGATAAGTTAATTTATCTTCCTTAAAAATCTATATTATCTAAGATTTTATAAAGTCGTTATTTAAGTCTTATAGGTAAAACAAAAAGGTAATCGAATCATTGAAGTTAAGTGAATTACACGTACTATACTGGAACGGTATTCCGTAAGAACGACACAATAAAATGAATACAATCTGCTGTATGACAATATTTATAACAAAGGAAAGGATATCAAATTTCCTCTAATATTGATCGTGTAGGTGTGCGTGGGTTTATAATTTTATTGAATGTAATTACATTAAAGACTGTTACGTAACATGGCAGGAAAGTACAAGGTTATTTTCTGTGTTATTTTGCAGTTAATTGTTCGTCAACTTGCATTGTTTTAAGTAGCTGTTTCCGACGATTTCAGGGATGATGAGCCAGACATTTAAATATAGGTTAATCTAGCGTGAGATTTACTGATACAATATTTAAGCGTTTTTACATATACAAATCGTAATACATGCAAATTCATAAAAGAAATGGATGGATATTATAAGAATTTTCGTGGAATAAACTAGGACAGGACCGGTTAGTATTTTATAAGTTTTGTTTATTTACTTATTAATGTAGAATTAATTATGTCTTGTAAATGATACAAAATCAGAAGACCAAGTTGTAAATCGGAGATATATTCAATACGTAAATGTAGCATGAAACTGTCAAAAAGAAAACATAAAACGGTGAGGGGGCATCCGTGACCTAGTGGTTGAGATCGTTAACAATAAAAGATATACTTAAGGGTAAAACCATTTGTCAATATCTGTTAACTTGCCTCTCACCGCGGTGGGTTCGGTTCCCGACAGGGACTTTTTATTCCTTCATGTGAGGAAATTATCTACTTAGGTGCCCGTTCGTGCAACGGGAGGGGACCCGAGGTCTTCATCCACCAGTTAAGCTGGAAGGTCGTCATATAACCTATACTGTGTTGGTGCCACATAACCCCCCCCCCCAAAAAAAAAAAAAAAAAAAAAAAAAAAAATAAAAAAAAAAAAAAATATAAAAAAAAATAAAAAATAAAAAAATAGATAAAAAATAAATATAAATAAATAAAAAAACATAAAAAATTAATATATAAAAATAAATAAAAATAAAAAATAAATAAACAATAAAAAGGACAAAAAAAGGAACAGCATTTATTGATAGTGATATATATACTAAATACATGTAAATGACACAGTTCATTTTGTTATATATGTTTACCTAGTGACAACTTAAACAATATGATAACGTATCCATACCAAAATAGTGGACTTGACCACCACGGTTTTATTTCTAAGCCATTGATAGACAATTATCATGCAACTCACTATAAGCAGGGTCATTTTCGATTAGATAAATACAGATGTATATTATATATACATATATGATACAAATTACATTAGGATATTACATGTAACTTAAGAGCAATTTAAATGGTCTTCTTTTATTCTCCGATTGCAATATGAAGGTCTTACACAATTGAGAGTGTAATGTAAATGATTTTTCACACTGGAAGGTGAAATATAAATGGTCTTACAAACTTAACAGTGTTATGTAAAAGGTCTTGAGAGTGAATGGAAAATGGTCTTGCACTATAAAGTATGTTATACAAATAAACGTTAGAAAGCATACATTAGTTATCTTCATTTCAGATTTCCTTGATACATCAATATACTGATTGGTCCAATTGTAAAAAAATGGCTAACATAAGAAGGGATCGCCAGTGTATTGTGGAAGTATTTCAGCATCACACCCGAAGAGACTTTCATATTATCAGCTTCATTGAAAAACTGAAAAAACTTAATTTATTAGATAAACGGCAATATAGTAATTTGCATAGCGCACTTGACGATTCTGGGTATGTACAAATCATCGAGCTTCTATGCAATTTGTTGCCCCATCTGTCTTATGACAACCTTTGTTTTCTATTTGAAGAAGAGGGGTATACTGATATCGCCTCTACTCTAAGAATAAAAAGGTTTACAATTCGTTACCGGAGACTCCCACAAATAGAAATGCCTCATTCTAAACGGACACATGATTACTACCAACATATTAAAAGCTGCATAGATAATAATTTGTTTTGGGGTGATAAAAGAGTAATATTAATGCAATTCATATATAAACAAGATGAAAAAATCATGATGAGTAGTGATGAAATATCGGTCCATGATCGACAGTTTGCCATGGAGCGAAAAGCAGCAGCTACAGTTTTACTAATTCAGCAATACAAGGACGTTGAAGAACGAAAGCGAATATTGCATCAAGCAATAAGCACAGAAACGAACGGGGTAGATAATACATCATTGCAAATTGTTTTCCATTCAAAAATGGCAATAACAGAAGCAGATGCGGGTAATATTCGGGAAGCTGAAGAGTATATCGTTAAAACAAAAGAGTTCTGTTTAATGTATAGACCTTGTTTTGCGGTAACATCTGCGTTCCATGACATTGAGTATACATATAAATCTCTTTACTTTAAAAACCCATCAGACGAAATGTTGGAAAAGATTCTCGTTGAAGGAGATATAGCTATTCAGAGTTTGAATGAAGAAAGTGAGGACGTTCAAAACCTCTGGAGAAGAATAATGCTATTGTTTATGGCATTATCATTGTTATTCATAACAGCAGATTTCGTGGTTTGCGACATAACGAAGATCAAAACAATTCATAAGAAACGCGCAAAGAGAATTTTGAAAGAGATTAACGCTGCAGTCATGAAATCCAAATTCGGCGGCAAATGATATTAAATCTGTGTTTAGCCGTACTCGAGGAAGAAAATGGTATTAAAGCCGCCGAAATGTATGCGAAACATGCAGTAAACAACGCAGAAAACGGTGGTTGTTTCCGTGATATAGAAAACCAAAATGTTAAGGCATACTTGAAAAGTATTCAAAGAAAAATGATTGCACAAACAATAAGAAAATGTTTTATGCTTGTTTCTATTATAATTGGAATATGCTTTGGAATTCACTATTTCATGGTTTATTTCACAACTGATGATAAATGTATCGTTTTCCTAATATATTGTTCTACAACGACTATTTGTGTGGTTCTTGGTAACTATTTTAGTCAGGTTTTTCCATTTTCTTTCATGTCACGAGATTAAAAACTTAAGACATTATGCATTTTAGATGACTTTAGATAATTGTATGTTTTTAATGCATTATAAATGACATATAGATATATCTCATTGTATACAAGCCGTTCAACAATACAAAAACACTGTATTTGATGTTTAGAAAACTAAGATATTAATTTTAAGTGCATTGTTGAAGAATAATGCAAGGTTTGAGGTCAAATACGCAGGGGTCGATAGGTCTGAGTGATAAATAATATTTACAAAGCATTTGTATGCTTATAAAAAGAGAACTGATATTAATATGATGATGTAATTTTTCTTGATGGCATTTAGTTTATATTTCATATTTGACGTTGCATTCCTTTATTATGTATTAGTATCGTGTTATAATGCACTCGACCGTCCTATTTGTTTCAATAGGGAATAATGTGAAAAGTGTTAGAATAAAAAATGACAATTATACATGTATATTAGTATAAATATAACATTTATTCATTATAAATATTTTTTCCATTTGTGAAATGTAATATTATGTTTTTATATGTGATTAATGAAAATGACATTATATTTAAACTGTATGGCATAATATTAATGAAGTAATTTTGCACAAAATGTTCAACATATAAATTAATACATGAACTTTACAAATGTGTAATCAAATAACCGGATGGAGTTATATTCATGTAAAAACAAGCATTACTTCCAAATATACGCTTATTTTGTAATAGTATCTTAAATGTCCTGTTTAATTTACATATGAAAGGATACTTAAATAAAATGTTGTTTTTGCTTTTTTATTGTTTGTTTAGTTAATAAATTAAATTAAATGTTATTCACTTCCTCAGACGATTTGTTGTTGGTTAAACATATGACTACAAATGTATATGAAATGAAACACACACATTAAAGTAACCTGAAACAGGACGAAAATAGCTACAGTAAAAAGGCAAATAATTGAAAATTAAATTCCGTTTGAGTCAATATGCAAAATTTCAATAACGAATAAAAGCGACTCTCATCCTCTTATTCTCTAAACCTGTGCTTTTCCTTACATGTTTTATTTTCCTAAAGTAAAAAATTCCTATTTTTAAAGAATTTTAAGTCCCTTAAGCCTCGGTCTCACTTACTCCCGGCAGAGCCCAGGACCATCCCGGTAAGTTACCGGGATGATCCGGGACGGTCCGGGATGAAATTATTGTTGCGGTCACACTTACCCCGGCAGCACTACGGTAGATCCCTACTAACCACCCAGGATGCGCTCCGGATCATCCATGCAGAGCCCAGGTGAAGCTACGGTTCATGCCGGTGCTTCCCCGGTCGTTCCCGGATGACGCCGGAAGAGCCCCGGTTGACCCAGGCAGAGCCCCGGTCGATCCAGGCAGAGCCCCGGCAGAGCCCAGGACGATCCAGGCAGAGCCCCGGTAGAACCCCGGTGGATTGAAAACGCCCGAAAATGATAACATTGATACATAATTTTTATTTAATATAATATCTATTGTTCCAGAATAGTAATTCATGATGATTTTCTGAAAAATCCTTATGCCATACTGGATAGAAGGGAAATGGGAAGGGTTTTAATACAAACAAGTGCAATCATCGCAAATTGTCGTTATTCTTTTGAAATGATCCGGGCTTTGCCGGGGCTCTACCGGGATCAACCGTAGCTCTACCTTTATCCTCCGGGGCTCTGCCTGTAGTTACCGGGGCTCTGCCGGCATATACCGGGGCTCTACCGTAGCTCTACCGTAGCTCTACCGGCTATATCATACCCCGGATCATCCCCGGTTTGTGCCGGCAGAGCTACGGTGCTTCCCCGGTATAACCCCGGTCGTTCCCGGCAGAGCTAAGGATGAAGCCGGCAAAGCTATACCTTCCCGGATCATCCCGGACCACCCCGGTGATATTAAATATTTTATTCCATCCGGTGTCGAATGCCGGATGTTCCCGGATCATCCCGGATCATCCAGGACGTTGCCGGCAGAGTTACGGATGTACCCCGGTTGTTCCCGGTCGTACCCCGGTCGTTCCCGGATCACCCCGGACGTCTACCGGGGCTCTGCCGGGGCTCTGCCGGGATGTAAGTGAGACTGTAGCTTTAATTCAAACAGAAATAACATAATTATGGATTGCATGTTATAATGTTTTGTGATCAACAATAAAAAGAGAAAAAAAAAACATAATTCTGAAAAATAATCAAGATTTTATAGACAAACTCGTATTTATAAGTTATCTGGCCTTCAAATGATCTAGAATAAGTAAATAAGTCTGATTCAAGGGCAGATAACTCAACAATGAGATAGGTGACACCCAACTTTTAAATCGTGACAACAAATTCTATTGAACTGTTTTAATTCTGCCTATATGTTTATCTGAAAACTAACTAAAACATCCCAAAAATTTTAGTGTTTTGATATTTGAATCATCTCGGATATAAAATTAATGTCTTCGTACTATTCATTTACATATCGTGGTAACAATTTCTGCCTTATGTCAACCTGTTGCGGTTATTAAATACTTTAAAGTTTATTAGCACGTATTTACAAAATTAAATTGGTCAGGCTAATCAATTTTAACCAGCTTAGTGTTTACAAACGGTCGATTTACTATACTGATTAACAGTATGCCGATTTACCAAAGTAAATGTGTTATGATTTATTTGAAGTACTGCAATCCCATGGGACAATAATTTATTCAAACACTAATTACATCTAAATCGCAAACAATAACGTTTCCATTGTTCTGTCTTATATTTGTGATATACAAGATTGTGCAAGGTATTCAATGTTGTTATTGAATTATAATATAAACACGCAAGTCGTGTAGCGTTTTAAAACGGTTGAAAATAATGTTTCGAGTCTAAATCTCCAAAGGTGCACACGTTTTTGGATTCTAGTTGGTCACGTGATTATTCATTTTATCTTTTATAAACAGAAGTATTATGATATTGTTTCATTCTAATCAATTACATCTAAATGTTTTCCACAGCTGAAAGTTAAACTCAAAAAGATTAAAAGAAAATATAGTGTACATATTTGAATTTTGAAACAGTAATTAAAATAAATTAAATAATTATGTTTATTCTACTTAAAGCTATGTAAAAAACAACAACAAAAAACAAGACCTGCAATTTATATTTATATAAAAATAATATTGCCGTCTTAACGATATTGATGTAAGTCTATAACGATATTGATGTAAGTCTAATCAAATACTGCTCAAATATAATTTATACTTTTAAAAGGAAAAAAAACAAAACACGGTAACGCTATAAAAGCGTCGCCCTTTATGGCTCAACTTTTGGAACGAAATAGTTGTTTATACGAACGTGTATGCAACGCCACAGTGTTAATCAATCTTCTTTATCTGTACCGCCACTCGGATTTACTTGTCTTTACATACAAATGCAAAATGTAATAATAGAATAACTTGAACGACCCATTTTACCATAATGGAACGACCGCTTTATGTAAACAGATTACAATGAATAGCGACTCCATATGTTATAAATAGAAACACATAATTAATACATACAATTTTCAGAAAATGAAACTACGTCATTTTCTATGAATTAATGTAATCAATATTTTCAAGAATTCTAATTGGAAGTAAAAAAAAAACGTTGAAACTTAACGACATGCGCATTATTGTATGCGGGATATAGTTTGTTCAGTTATAAGAGGTATGTGCATTTTTGTTAAGAAACTAGGCCACTTTATGAGTCTATATAAATTGACTATTCGTTTAGCGGCTGATTATTAATTCAGAAAAGATATAATAAGGGCTTTTTGCATATATTTACATATTTTGGTTTGCAATGTATAAATCACTATTTTAATACTATGGGGGCACTTACGAACTTTCGCTATATGTATATGCAGTATTTCGATAGAGCGGAAGTCAGTGCGCGAGCATGCGCTTTGCCATATCTCGTTCAGTTACCGCTCACGTTTTAAACTCGGTTGCTATGAAGCGACACTAAGTGTACATGGCTTTTACAACTTAAATATCAGACAAACACATTAAATAATACACATAAACTACACATAGTTGTTTTTAATATTAATATTTTGCATTTGAAACTGATAGTCAAACAAATATCTCAATATTCTTACCGATTTAATGTATTGTTTACACGTGATGACAACAGCGCTGTGTGTTAGATTACTTTCGGTTCAGAAAATTCATTTGTTTACCATCAAAAATCATATGTTTACCATAGGAACCATATATAGATAGAAAGCAAATTATACAAAGGTAAAGAAAAAAATTGTCCGTTTCTGAACAAAAAATCAAATAAATAAATACAAAGTCTTTTAAAAAGGTCCCTTCTTTGAGTTCATTTGAAAGGGGAATAATTTGGAGGAATTTTAGACAGGGAAACAGGGAGTTATCATTCATGGCTAGGGAATATGGCCGACTGAAATCATGCAAGCAAGTTTGTAAGTGGGGGGGGGGGGGGCAATGCACATATCTCATAATTGACAGGAAAAGTATTTCCTATTTTTAGTTTTGTCCGGAGCATATCTCCTTCATACATGGAGGGATTCTGATGAAACTTCATAGAAATGTTCACCACTACATATAGGTTACTGCAGCCAAGATCAATGTCGCACATAAGGATAAAAGTTTAGATAAAATATGAAAATGTGTGTTCGGACCATTTAGTCATCATTTATTGAGGGGCTGAAACACAAATGGCCATTATAATGATTTCAGGTGTGAAATATAAAATTTAGGGTAATACAAAAATGTATTTGCAAGGTCAAGGTCACTAAAAATGATAAAATATAGAGGTTTTGTCCAGAGCATACTGCCTTCACGCATGGATGGACATTAATACAGATAATTTAGGTTCATATATGCAAGGTCAAGGTCACGGAAGATGAAAACTATAGAGATTTTGTTAAACGGATATCTCCTAGACACATGTTGGAATCCTGATGAAACTTTTTAGCATAGAAATGTTCAACGCTATGAAAAGCAGTGTCAAGTGCATAAACCAGGTCTCTAGGTCAAAGGTCAGGGTCACTCTTAGAGGTCATTGAAAAACGCTTTCCCGGAGCAAAACGTTAACATACATAGAGGGATTTCAATATAACTAGGCACAAAGGTTCACTATTGTGAGACGGAGTCCCGTGTAAAATTTAGGTCTCTGGGCCAAAGTCAAGATCACACAAGGGTCAAAGTTCATATAAATATATGAACATGTGTATCCAGACCATTTGAGGGATTGAAACACAAATGATCATTATCATTACTACAGGTGTGAAACATGTAATTTAGGTATATATATGCAAGGTCACTAAAGGTGATAAGAGAAAGAGATTTGTCCAGAGCATATTGCCTTCACGCATGGAGGGATTTAATAAAAGCATCATAGACATTTTCACAACTATGAGAAGAGCAGTGTCATGCGCAAAGTTCAAGGTCGCACTTAGAGGTCATTTAAAAACGTTTGTCCGAAGCAAAACTTTAACATGCATAGAGAGATTTGAATATAACTTGACATAAATGTTTACTATTGTGTGACGGAGTGTTGCGTGCAAAATTCAGACCCGTGCAGTCAAGGTAAAGGTCACACATAGGGGTCAAAGTTAAGATAAAACAGGAGATGTGTATTTGGACCATTTATTCATCATTTATTGATGGATTGTAACACAAATTGTTTGTTTGTTTCATTCCACGCCTTTTCCCAACAGTATTTCAGTCATATAGGCGGGTAGTTTCCTAAGAGCAATCCCAAGCGAAATCTTCACAGAAGCTTGCTGTATTCAAAATTTGATTAAGATAAGTCAATCTGAACTGATTTATAGATAGGAAACCATCTTTTTTAAACCGACCGCCTAATAACCAAGATTTTCAGAATTGTAAAACCTGAGAAAACATTGCTAAAAAATGCCCTATGAAATAAAAACGCAGCGTGTAATGTCGTTTATTGCCGAAATAATATTGTTGACGCTTTTTGGTGTCTTCTAACAATGATATATCATATTAAAATTATGAAATTAAAAAGAAATGCGTACATTTGTTTGAAATGTAAAGATGCAAAACATTATAAATAAAGCATAATGAGAATAAACTTTTTTGTTATAAATTATGGTATCTCCATTTAAGACATGGACGAGACTATATCATGTTATTTAAAATATTTGCTAATTTCCCTTTATTAATATGCTATATAATATCGTAATATTCTAAGGAGGCGAGAAGTAAATGGGTCCCCAAGTGTCTTATTATTTACTTTGAGCACTTATTTTACAAGAACGAACTAGTAATTTCTGGCTGAAGGTTTGGCTGAAGATCTATGGAGGTGCAAGAAAATAACACTTTTATTTTAGTTTGACTTCCATAGGTCTATTGAAGCTAATTCTGATGGTAAATCTATAAATAATTACGGCCAAAAATTGCTTCAGCTTTGTATTGCTACTATGCTTCGTATATGTAATGGCAGAATCGGTAACGATGCTGGCAAAGGTTGTTGTACTTGTTATACTGATTATTCTCCTAGTCTTATTGATTATATTTTGTCTGATATGTCATTATCTGATTATGTCTTAGATTTTGATGTTGAAAACCGAATTGAATCTATACACATGCCCGTCTACATTAAAATTAAGAGCTCAACACAATTAGAAGATAGTCTTTCTGAACAAGTATTAAGTAACATATCTGAAAACCTATATACTAAACTGAAATGGGATGAAAATAATAAACAACAATACATTGAAAAGTTAATTATAGGTATTGACTCTATGTATGACTATTTTAATACTGCTTTAGATAATAATGATATACATCTAGCTATACAGAGACTAACAGATTGCTTTTACAATGCTGGATCAAACATAAATAGAAATAATCGTGTTAATAATCTTAATACAAATCAGAAATGTCAAAAATGGTATAATTCTACTTGTAAACGACTTCGTACCAATGTTCTTCAGAGGTTAAGAGAATTTCGTAGATCACGCACTGATAACGCTTTAAACAACTACAAATTAGCTAAATCCGAATATCGAGAAACATGTCGTAAGTTTAAGCTAAGATATGAAGCTAATGAACGATCAAAACTTGTCGCTGCTGCCAATTGTAATAACCCGAAATATTTTTGGAATTATTTAAAGACAAACACAGGGCTTAATCGTGTTAATATAACAACTGAAGAGTGGTATAATTATTTTAATAGTTTATTTAATCCCGTTGTTAACAGTGAGTTTGATGATACCACAAACGACAGTGTAATATTTAATGATATTCTTGATTCCGCAATCTCTCCCTCTGAGGTCAGCTGGGCAATAGGTCAACTCAAATTAGGCAAATCAGCTGGTATTGATGGCATTACAGCTGAGTTTATTAAAGCTGCCTCTGACAGACTTATCCCGATTTTATGTTTGGTATATATTAAGCTATACGATAACGGTGAATTTCCCAACAATTGGTCAATTTCACTTATCACACCTGTACTTAAAAAGGGTAACCAAAACGATCCAAGCAATTATCGTGGAATCAGCTTACTACCTGTACTGAGTAAAATATTTACATCCATTTTAAATAGAAGGCTTGAGAAATGGTGTGATGCAAACTCTGTATTAGGTGAAGAACAAGGTGGGTTTAGGAGTGGTTATAACACTATAGATAATATATTTTGCCTGTGCACCTTTATAACCAAGTATCTACAAAAACCTCAAGGCCGTTTTTATACTTTATTCGTTGATTTTGAAAAAGCATTTGACCGAATTAATAGACAGGCTCTATACAATAAACTATGCTCAAATAATGTTAGTTCAAAGTTTTTAAAAATGATCAAATCGTTATATCATGATATTAAAGCAAGAGTTAAATCCCCATCTGGACTAACAGAAAGTTTTGAATGCCCGTTTGGTGTCAGGCAGGGGTGTACGCTATCACCATTACTATTTTCTCTATTCTTAAATGACCTTAATAATTATGTTAGTGATGGTTGCCATGGTGTCTCATTAGAGCTTAAACAAATATTCACTTTACTTTACGCCGACGATTTAGTTCTAATTGCCGAAACAAAAATAGAGCTTCAGAGAATGATTAATCGGTTAAAGTCGTACTGTGATAATTGGAATCTAAAAATTAATCTCGATAAAACAAAAGTCATTGTCTTCAGGAATGGTGGTTACCTGCGTGCTTATGAAAAATGGTTCTATGGCGTAGAAAAAATACAAGTAACGTCTTACTATAAATATTTAGGAATAGTGTTTTCGTCTAGATTATCATGGTATATGTGTCAAAAAACATTATTTGAACAAGCAAATAAAGCTATTTTTTCACTTAAAACTAATTTATACAGATTCGGACAACTTCCTGTATCTCTATTGTTCAAAATTTTTGACACAAAAATACAACCTATATTGACATATGGCTCTGAAATTTGGTTTTCTTATGAAGCTAAAGATACTGATATCGTACATAACAAGTTTTGTAAATTTGCATTGAAATTAAACTGGTCAACTCCTAATAAGTATGTATATGGAGAGTTGGGCCGTTTTTCACTATATTGTAACAGAGTTCTTAAAGCAATCAAATACTGGTTTAGGATTCTAAAAATGAATGAAAATAGATTACCTTTATTATGCTATAAAGTCCAATACCGGTGGGCAGAAAATAACATTGATTGCTGGGCATTTCAAATTAGGCGTGTTCTTTTCATAAATGGATTTGGTCATGTATGGATTAACCAGGGAGTAGGAAATATTGACTTGTTCTGTCGCGAATTATCTCAAAGATTGCGCGATATTGATGTTCAAACATGGCGGGAGGCTCTTGATTCATCTAGTAGACTGTTGTTTTATAAAAGTATTAAAATTGACTTTATAAGAGAATCGTACCTAGATCAAATTGAAAATTCATATTACAGGTCGCTCATTGTAAAATTAAGAGGCGGTTTACTGCCCTTGGGTTATAACACTGGATTCTTCAATAATATACCAATTGATCAAAGGATATGTCCTCTCTGTTTTACGGGCTTAGACGATGAATATCACATTCTCTTGATTTGTATTCACTTTAATACTATACGTAAAAATATTCTACCAGATATATTGGTGAAAAATCCTTCACGTGAAAAATTTATATCTGTTCTAAGAAACGCAGATGTGACATTATATAAGACTATCGCACGTTTTCTCGATCATGCACTTAAATATAGACGCCAATTCAGTACTTAAAAAAAAATACATACATAAAACTTTATAAAGGAAATTATATAGTGTATTCTACAACTGATCTACGAAATTCTCTTAATATCTCTATATATCTTCAAAGAAAAATTGATATGATGTCTACCAATGTTTATATTACAATTTACTATGTACATGTATATCTATGATCATCTCATTGTATTTTACCATTGCTATTTCATGTTTGTTGTATTATGTTGTATTTTGGGCCGGAGGCCTATGTTACATAAATAAACTTTACTTTACTTACTTACTTACTTAATTGAATGAAAATACAATTCTTCTTCCATAGGTGAAATAAATGAAAATGAAATCAAGGTGTTTCTGGAAGACGGATAAACCTACCAAAAATGAGTGTCATTCTGCTATACAAGACGACAATGTCCTAATCCTACAGCCGTCGGAAACTCTTATCGTTCAGGTAGATGACGGAAAAGGTCCTTTAAATCCGTCAGACACTTTGATATTAAAAAAGTATCAGAGTCTTTTGAGTCAAATGAAAGGTTTAAAAGCATGGACTAAGTTTCTGTCATGCGTGAACATATTATTTATGTGTACTCTTGTTTTCACCATCGTCGAGAACACTTGGCATATGATAAAGAAAAAGCAGACAACGACCTGTCCTTGAACATGCAAACGACAAGTCAGGATGAGAGGACTTTTCCACAAAATCTTCTCTCAAAAGATTCCGGAAAAATCGTGAAAGAACATGTTTTCTGCACTGCATGCGAATCTGTTCGTGGTATGGAGCAACTTTTCTTCGAGACGATTGACACAAACAAATGCTGCTTGAAAGACATTTCAAACCTGATTCAACTTATGAGTTTAATGAATATGAAGGTATATTGAGACTTTATCTTATTGTGTGCATGTTCGTCTTACAGTTTACTGTATATGAACGTGATAAAAATTCACTATCACGATTGATAGAGGAGTTAATGTTTGTTCAGTTGTTTGTACAGTGATTTTGAAGGTCATGCACATAAATATTATTTAGATATGCACATTGCATAAAATGCAATCCCTTTCTTGTTGTTTGAACATTTCTTCATCAGTGAGCGTACGAAAATTGTAAATTTTAGGTTTAATTTAACTTTAAAATGATAGACTGAGACTGCATTGAGCGATACCACTAACAAATTCTCAGCAAAATAAAATTTCAACGTAATTAAAGAAATCGAAAGCGTATAGAATATAGACATTTGTTTAGTTATGATATAAAGATTGTAACTGATTACTAGTCTGATTATTTTAAAAACTGGTTTGTTGCAGCAATTTAACACTTTTGAATATACTTATATTTTTAGACCTTGAATGAGTTCTCATCTGACATTAAAGGTTTGGCGTCAAGTAAGTAATATATTTTGTTATCATATATTTTCTTGCGTGACCAAAACAATCTTACAATCGCTGTCATTTCATAAATATAGTTATAAAAAACCCGCCATTGAATATGCTACTAAGCTCATTTCTGGCCAGGTTTTTATAAAACATATTTATGAAATAACAACACATTACATAGACTTTCCATAAAGCATTTCTACAATTCCTCCAGGTATTGCTGACGTAAGAGAAGACACAGATGCTTTAACTAAGGAAATATTTAACTCCAATGAAACGGATGATGCAGTCGCAACCACCAATGGATCCACCCCGAAGGAGAACATCATGTGGGCAATGATTATGAAAAATAACAAAATACTCAACCTCATACTGAACATAAGACGTTCAGTTATATATCTAGTTGGAACAGGTATACAATAACTGCTTATACTCACATACACAGTTCTGTATGTTTTTTTTTATTTTTGTGTTTGTTTGTAACATTATGCTTCACTGAATCTAAGAAAAGTAACTAATAGTGAAATATACCTACCAAAGACATGCATGCATATGCTATGTCATGAAAAGGAAAATTATCAAACCAAAGATTCGTAAATTTCATTATTATACAATGTTGGTTTGATTTTTATAGTTATACATATATAATCAGTTCAATGTAAACAAACGCTTTCCTTCAGCTTTCGAGGTTTAGTCTTCTACAGAAAATATGGCGTTTATAACATAACAAATGACAAATGACGCAATGTTATGTTATGATAATTGAATTATTCCTTTCACATGTGCTCAAACAGACTGTTGAACACACAGAGATGAACAATCATGGTCTTAGAATATATTGCTTTCTATCTTTCAAAAGCTGGTATAGTTGAGGCACACAGTATATATGCTCTAGCTTTTATTTATGTATAACCTTTAAACATTATAGACTGTACATTTAATATTTAGTTTCAACTCTCATTAATAGTTATGGTCTTCAAGAATTGCCATTGTATTGTCCAAATGATTTACAATGTGTTATATTAAACAATTTGTTCTCTTGATTTAAGCTTTGGACGATGGCATATATTGGTCAGTGGAGACGGCAACTGGCGATTTATCATATGAAGGAAATAGTATTCATGTAAAAAGTGGTGGACAATATATGATAAATTGCAACATCCACTTCTCAAAGAACGTCTGCGACGGAACAGAGTATGCTTAGTTTTGTCACTTTAGAATTATTAAATATTTTTGCATTTAAAAAAAATTGAAATTGAAATATTATAATGTGAACATGAGAGACAAGATTTCTAATTAGTTTTATAATAATGGCATACATGATGTTGTAGAAATTTTTCAATGCAGTTGGTATTATCATTTCAAGTATAAATTTTGTTGATATTCATTTTCAATTACAATATAAAATCACCACAAAATATGTGTCTTCACATTTATTTTAGAAACATCGGTTATACCATGAACCAAGAATATCGACCTAATGAAGTGCTACCTCTGGCTCGTACTCGAACTGTTTGTCCAACCGGAAGAAGTATAGACGAGGACCTACATTTACAAACCATTCTTCAAGTCGGACTGGGACAACGATTGACTCTCAAGCTTGAATATGACAAATCCTTACAGTCTATGATATCGAAATCAAATCGAAATCATTATATTATCATGTATGAAATATAAGATAATAATAACTCCAACACATAAAGGTGGAGGGAGTAGGCCATACTGGAATCACTGTGTTTTTCTTCTTCACACGTTACTCTAATTTTATGTTCACCTTCAAAACTAATTATTAATACACCTACAATACTGTACTGTACCATAATAAATACCGGGCTATAAGTTTTTTCTTTAGCGGCTGTAGTTAAAGGATAGTAATTCAATATAATTTTATCTAAAATATAATTAAACCGTATTGATTGGTATAAAAATAATATTTCGATCTGATGTTCATATCTATGGCTGTTGCAAAGACAATTTTCTTTTTAGAAATAAAATTTTGAAATTACTGCCACTGTTCAATATACAAATGTACCAAACAAGCTATTGTGCTATCCGGTTGGCATCGTGGGGATACCCACGGTCGAACCATTAACAGCTATTAATTTTATTATTAAGTTACATGTTTATCAACCGTGGGTAAACCAACGATGTCCTGTTGATTGCTCTTGACCATTAAGCACATATTATGATATTTTCCCGCACAATATATGCTACACACTGAAATACTAATATCACATAGTATTATGCCATTAAACATAACCTTTAAATCATAAAATGTAAAATCACTCTACTGAAACATGTAAAAGACTTACCTTTAACAATTACAGCTCGATTAGGATAATAGTAGAGTGACTCGACGGTCCAGTAACACCCTATCATATTATACAAGTTATCTCTAGTGAATCAGCTTAGTGACATTTCTTACAAATATCGAAATATACAAACTGTCGACGTAAAGATGTAACGGACTTAGCCGTACATTTTTCGCAAAATTGAAATTCTTGTATTTTTTGTTTGTTTTTGTATGCCTGTATTTTTGAAATATATATTTAATATGTTTTTTTATACATGTTGTATATATTAACTTTTTAAATTGTCATATTTCTCAATTTAGATTAGTTGGCGCTCTGTGTACAACGTGCTACACTGGGCAAGTATTCATTGTATCCGGTATATCTTATATCATTGAATAGTTAGACAGTATGACAATATAAGAAATCTTCTTAAGTATTATAAAATGAAAAAAAAAGCAAAAAAAAAAGCAAAAAAAAAAAAAAAAAAAAAAAAAAAAAAAAAAAAAAACCAAAAACCCACAAAAAAAAAGGAAAAAAAAAAAGAAAAAAAAGTAAAAAGGTAAAAAAGAGACATTTTTTTCTAAGCTCGAACTCGTGTTTGCTTTTAAGCGCTCATGACGGCCGACTTTACCAAGGTCACTATCCAGTCATTTACCATTCGTGTGCAAATTAAACTGTACATAGTATTCTATTCTTTATGTTTTACCGTTTTAGTCCATTGTTGAAAATGTTGGTATACTCAAAAAAGGAACGTCACTCTCGCATGATCATAGTCAAACAGTTCTTCTCTTATACTTAAGTTATTGATATAGAAACTGAGGAATAAATTAAGTTTTTTTAGTTTATATTTATATTAGTCACGCTTCTTCACTCGACGGTTTTATTGTGGCTAAAATCTTTAATTAAGACATCTGTATCACTTTTGATCAATTTTTATTCATGTACCAGCTTTATTCATAACATAAATATTTGTTTCTACGTGTTATAATGTTTTGCCGATAAACGTCATATAGCGTGTTTCGCGCGTTAAATTTAACGCATGTTCCGTCATGATGTCCCTTCCGGTAATAACTACTGAATGATCAGGGGCTTGTTTGTTGATTTTAATATGTTATTCCGCTTTTACACATCTAAAAAATGTTAATTATTATGCAGTTTGATAACAATATGTTCCAAATATGTATATGTTTTAATGTGTTACCTTCTGTAAATAAAGTTCTTGTTATTTGTTATTATTATTATCATCATTATCATTATGCAGGTGAGTCGATTGACAATACAGCGTGACCACTATCATTTAAATGATGGCAGGTTTCGATGTTACCCATCGGCAGTTTCTTTGATAATTAATGCTAAATGTTACTATGTTACTGTTTATTATATGAGTAATGATATTCTTGCTTACGTTAAAAACTAGGAAAGTCGGTTGTTATAGTCAGGTGCCCGATTGTGCTTGCTTGATGTAATATATAGATAGGATCTTCTTCCATAAGCAAAGCAGAAAAGTTGCCATGCGACTTTTATAGTGTCAAGGTGACTTGAAATAAAATAAAATAACAACAACAACAACAACTGAAATACCCTTAAATACATATATTAAATATCGCTTAACTCGTTTTAGAAAGGCAGGCACATTCCCAGATAGTGCCATTATAATTATGTTCGCATGATTTTATAATATTTTATATTTGTTATGATATTTGTCTAGTTATTTGTGTATACAACACTAATATAGCATATAAGATTGTCACACGTGCATGTTTTAGAAGAAATTACTCTTATTCAGTTGTAATTTACACATATTTTTCTTTCCGTGTTGCAACCTTAATAAATAAATAAAATTTACGTATCTTTATGTGTTTAAATGAATACCTACTAGTCATACGATAAAACGTAAGAAAACGAAAGAAAAACAATAAAATCAAGTTAATAGAAAACGGGAATCCATTTCAGACAGGCACAGTTTCAAGTATGACGTGTAAAGTATATTTATTTGCTTTCGACGTGACAGCTGGTTTGCAGATTCGATTTTATATATAACTAGGCTACTGATTTTCAGGGAAACTCATTATAATATTGAAAGTATGCTGATCAAAGGCATGTTTTTTATTACAAGCGGCCTTCAGCTTTCATTTCATGTTGGAAAACAATTATGTGTTGTTTCAAACTAAGTATTTCAGTAATATTATCTAGAAAAAGCACATCTCCTTCGAAACAGTGTTCCGACGCACAAATGTCGTTTGTTTCCAAAAAAAGAAGATAGGGATAGGAGCTGTACTAATTTCAATACAGAGAGCAAACCGGTAGATGGTTTCCTTATTGTCTATGTATTTCATCGTCGGCAAATTTATTTTCTACCCTATTTAGTTTTATTTTACAATTATATGAAACGATTTATCGAAAAATATCATATTTAACCTTAAAAAAGCTGACGGCTGCTTTAAGCCTTGATACGATTAAGCCTATCATTCATGACTTAGAAATCTACCTACCAAACCTCATGATAAAAGGACCAATCTTCTTTATGCAAAGAGCAGTCGCAGTAGTTACAGTAAGCAGGAAGACATGGCTTAGTACTGGCCACTTGTTCATATTGTCTCCAATCAAACATGGAACCACTACTATAAATGATATACAGGCAGGCGGATGCTTACGCATTTTGAAGCTTTTTTGACACCAAAAAATAACCTTTTTATTCCCCCAATATTTAAAAGCAAAAACAATTTTTTACAAAAAAAAACAATTTAAAGGGGATGCCCTATGTATAATTTATTACAAAACTAAAATCAAAAAAATATTATTTTTATTAAAAACCCTTTTTTTCGGATAAAATTTTTTGGGGAAAATTTTTTTTATGTTTTTTTAATTTTTTTAATTTTATTTTAAAAAAGTTTTTTTAAAACAAAATAAAAAACACCCAAAATAAAGTCTAAAAAAATTTTAGAAAAACGGTTTTGACCAGAACAAAGGAAAATCGACCGATGGGAAATGCACCTCCGGTCCGGACGCCAAATGTTTTTTCCAGCCGGAAAAAGTAAGACGGAACCCACTTTACAAACCACCAAGCGGGGGGACAACGATTTACCGGAAAACTTTAATAGACAAATCCTTACAGGGAATAACCCAAATCAAATAGAAACATTTTTAATTACATGTTTTGGAAAAAAAATAATTTTAAAATTTTTTACACATAAAATGGTGGAGGGGGTTGCTATACGGGTTTCATTTTTTTTCTTTAAAAAAATTAATTTCACCTTTTCAAAAAAAAAAATCCAAAAAAAACCTCAATAGTAACTAAACCCCCAATTTAAAATCGGGGGTTAAAAAAGGTTTCCCTTTTTATTTTAGTTAATCGGGGGTGGGAATTTTAAAAAACTTTAATCTTTAAAATTAAAAAATATCCTTTTTTTAATTTACAAAAAACATTTAAAAGAATTTTTTCTTTTAGAATAATATTTTGAAAAAATGCCCAAATTTTTCAAATACAAAAGGGCCAAAACCCCAAAATTTGGGAAAGAAGGGTTTTTAAAATGGCATAAACCCCAAAATTGGTTGCTAATCCGTTGCACCCTTGGGGGAATTTTCCACGCCCCAAACTTAACAGTTTTTTAATTTTAATTATTTAGTTAAAAGCCCCAAAACCCCCGGGTACACGAAAAAATCGCCCTTTGATTGTTTGCCCTTCAAACAAAATTTGCTAGCCCCACATAAACTAGCACTTTAAAAAATACATTTCCTTCAAAAAACAAATTTTTTCATAAAAAATTTAAAAACAATGCGGGGGCCTTAAATTTTCTTAACCGAAAAGGGAGAAATAAAAAATTTTTTGAAAAATTATTGAATAAAAAGTTTCTTTTAAAAATCAAATTTTTAATTTTTAGGGAAACCAAAATTTTTTTAAGACCCACCCCAATTTTGCACAAAATAAAAATTTTGGGAAAAAACCGAAAAATGAAACCTTAATTGTTTTGGCCAAAATTTTTTGATTACATTGGGAACTAGATTTTCCGCTTAAAAATAAATTTTTTTAAAATCCAAAGATTTAACTTTTAAAAAAATTCTTTGGAAGCCTGTATATTTTTTAATATATATATATTTAATATGTTTTTTATTCATGTTGACTGTATATATTAACTTGTTAAATTGTCATATTTCTCATTTTTACTTTATTAATTAATTTTAGATTAGTTGGCGCTCTGTGTACAACGTGCTACACTGGGCAAGTATTCATTGTAACCGGTATATCTTATATCATTGAATAGTTAGTCAGTATGACAATATAAGAAATCTTCTTATGTATTATAAAATGAAAAAAAAAATGAAAAAACCAAAAAAAAACAAAAAACCACCAAAAAAAACACACAAAAAAAAAAAAACACAAAAAAAGAAAAAAAAAGAAAAATGTAAAAAAGAGACATTTTTTCTAAGCTCGAACTCGTGTTGAGGTGTTTGCTTTTAAGCGCTCATGACGGCCGACTTTACCAAGGTCACTATCCAGTCATTTACCATTCGTGTGAAAATTAACTGTACATAGTATTCTATTCTTTATGTTTTACCTTTTTAGTCCATTGTTGAAAATGTTGGTATACTCAAAAAAGGAACGTCACTCTCGCATGATCATAGTCAAACAGTTCTTCTCTTATACTTAAGTTATTGATATAGAAACTGAGGAATAAATTCAGTTTTTTTAGTTTATATTTATATAAGTCACGCTTCTTCACTCGACAGTTGTATTGTGGCTAAAATCTTTAATTAAGACATCTGTATTACTTTTGATCAATTTTTATTCATGTACCAGCTTTATTCATAACATAAATATTTGTTTCTACGTGTTATAATGTTTTGCCGCTAAACGTCATATAGCGTGTTTCGCGCGTTAAATTTAACGCATGTTCCGTCATGATGTCCCTTCCGGTAATAACTACTGAATGATCAGGGCTTGTTTGTTGATTTTAATATGTTATTCCGCTTTTACACATCTAAAAAATCTTAATTATTATGCAGTTTGATAACAATATGTTCCAAATATGTATATGTTTTAATGTGTTACCTTCTGTAAATAAAGTTCTTGCTATTTGTTATTATTATTATCATCATTATCATTATGCAGGTGAGTCGATTGACAATACAGCGTGACCACTATCATTTAAATGATGGCAGGTTTCGATGTTACCCATCGGCAGTTTCTTTGATAATTAATGCTAAATGTTACTATGTTACTGTTTATTATATGAATAATGATATTCTTGCTTACGTTAAAAACTTTAGGAAACATATATATATATATATATACATGTAAATCGCTGTACTATAATAAACTGCTGCATTGCATAGAAAACAAAAAGGAAACCAGAAATGTTTTCAGTTAAAACGTTCAGATTGAAAACTCTGATAAAAAAAACTGTTCACCATCTATTACATATAATTTTTGTTTCTGGAGAGAAAAGGTAATTCAATAAATATGTTTGTTTTCACGCCTACTTTCTCTTTAATCCTATGTATTTCTATGAAAAAATGTCAATGATATTATAAACCGAGCGTCTAAACTAACAGCTGTTCTCTTGTGCATCGCACGAATGTAAAAAAAAAAAATGCACACATGCGTTATAGCGTCGGTTAATCAGTTCATGCGATTTACCTGGTTAGTAGCACTGGTTGTCTGGTTAGTAGCACTGGTTGTTTAAAGTTCATTTACTTAAATAAATTCTTTCAAAATTTGAAAAATACTGCCATCTCATTGGACAAAAATAATCTTTTAAACACTAAGCCGGTTTAAATTTATAAGTACGTATTGACAATTGTATACACACCGGTCTCTCACCGGTAGGACCAGTGTACACAATGCATTTTGACAAATTTATACGCATTATCAAACATGTAGTATAAGAAGAACTTGTACAACCCCAACCGATTTAATTTAAACAGATAACCTTCATATGTTATTTATAGAAACACAATCTATACACAAAATTATCAGAAAATGAAACTAGGTTATTTTTTATGACTTGATGTAATCAATATTTTCAGGAATACAAAGTGAAAGTAAACAAACTAAATAGTTTAACGACAGCGGGAATGTAATATTTTAAGATTAACTTCAAGAGGTATGTGCTTTTTTTACTTTGTTTTACCTCTTTTTGAGTCTTCATAAGTTAATCATTCGTGTTCGTATGGTGGTTGATTACTAATTCAGAATAATTATAATAAGGGCTTTTTGTATATTTTAACATTTATTTGGATTAAAAGTGTCATTTGCAATGAATAAATCACCTTTTCAATACTATAGGGACAAAAGCAACCAAAGTATTAGCTTGTCATCCACAAATGTTCCTTGAAATATTCCATAATTGACCGGAAACGGTTTTACTATGTCCAATTTTATCCGTAGCAGTTCTTCTTCACACAAAGAGGGATTCTAATTAAACTTCATTGAAATGTTCACCGCTAAATTTAGGTCCCTGCAGCCAAGGTCAGTGTCACACATAAGGGTCAAAGTTCAGATTAAAGTATGAAAATTAGTCATCATTTATTTAGGGGTTGAAACACGAATGGTCATATCATGAATACAGGTCTATAACATGTAATTAATGATAATAAAAATATATGTATATGCAAGGTCAATGTCACTAAAGATGATACAATATAGAGGTTTTGTCCAGAGCATTTCTCCTACACGCATGTAGGGATTCTCATGAAACTTCATGGAAATGTTCACAACTATGAGGAGTGTCATGCGCATGATCCAGGTCAGAGGTCTCTAGTTCAAGGTCACACTTAAAATTCATTGTCTGAAGCAAATCTTCAACATGCATAGAGGGATTTCAATATATCAATGTTCATTATTGTGGGACAGAGTGTCGCGTGCAAAATCCATGTCCCTGTGGCCGAGTTCAAAGTCACAAAAAGGGATTACAGCTCAGATAAAATATGAAAATTTGTATTTGGACCATTTAGTCATCATTTGTTATTGGATTAAATACAAATGGTCATTGGACACAGGTGTAAAACATACAATTTAAGGATATATAGTCATGGTCAAGGTCACTAAAGATGTAAAATATAGAGATTTTGTCCAGAGCATATCTCGTAGCCGCAAAGTGGGATACTAATGAAACTTCAAAGAAATGTTCAACGCTATGAGAAACAGTATCACATGCATAAACAAGGTCTCTATGTCAAAGGTCAATGTCACACTAAGAGGTCATTTAAAAACGCTTGTCCGGAGCAAAGTTTTGACATGCAGAGAGGTATTTCAATATAACTTGGCACAAATGTTTACCATTGTGAGGCGGAGTGTCGCGTGTCAAATCTTGGTCCCTTCAGCCCAGGTCAATGTCACATAGGGGTCAAAGTTCATGTAGAAATATGAAAATGTGTATCCGAACCATTTAGTAATTATTTATTGAGGGATTGAAACACAAATGGTCATTGCCATGACTACAGGTGTAAAACATGTAATTTAGGTTAATATATGCAAGGTCAATGTCACTAAAGATGATAAAATATACATATTAGTCCAGAACATAAAATATACATATTCGTCCAGAACATATCTCCTTCACGCATTGAGGAATTCTAATAAAAGCTTATAGAAATTTTCACATCTATGAGGAGATCATGTCATGCGCGTGAAATTGGTCTCAATGTCAAATGTCAAGGTCACACTTAGAGAGGTCACATACATAGAGGATTTCAATATAACATTCACCATTGTGAGACGGTGTGTCGCGTGCAAAATTCAGGCTCCTTCGGCCAAGGTTAAAGTCACACATAGGGGTCAAAGTTAAGATAAAAAATATGTGTATTTGGACCATTTATTCATCATTTATTGATGTATTGTAACACAAATGATAACTATCATGACTACAAGTGTGACACATGCAATTTTGTTTATATCTGCAAGGTCAAGGTCACTATGGATGAAAAATTGTAGGTATTTTGCCCAAAGCATGTCTCCTTTATGCATATCTATAATGCCCACATCTCTGTCAGAAGCTATTGTGACGCGCAAATTTTGCGACAACGTTACCCTTGTTTTATTATTAATGACATTGACCTTCACCCTACATAACCCAAAACAAATTCCAAGATAAAAGTTTACACATTACATTACACAACATTGCAATATCTCATTCCTAATTCTTGTTATTGACCGGAAATCTATTTCCTAATTTTAGTTTAAGCAACCTTGCCATTTTACCCAGGGGGCCTAGAACTTTCCTTAGCGAGGTCTCACTTAAGCTTGCTACACACCAAGTGTCATTGAACTATCCCATTCTAAACTCAATTTATTTACTGGAAACCATTTTTCTATTTTACTAATTGTGACTTTTGCTCTAGTGGGGGGGGGGGGGGGAATCCCAAGCGAAATCTTCACAGAAGCTTGCTGTATTCAAAGTTTGATTAAGATAAGTCAATTTGAACTGAATTATGGATAGGAAACACCCGACCGTCTAATAACCAGTAAAACCCGAGAAAACATTCCTAAAAAAATGCCCTATCAAATAATAACGCAGCGTCTGATGTCGTTTGTTGTCGAAATATTGTTCACGATTTTTGATGTCTTCAAACAATTGAATATTAAATTATAACTATGAAATTAAAAAAAAATGCGTACACTTGTATGAAATGTGAAGATGCAAAACATTATGAATAAAGCATTTTGAGAATAAACTGTTTTGTTATAAATTATCGTATCTCCATTTAAGACATGGGCGAGACTATATCATGTTATTTCATTGCTTTAATTAGAATATTTCTTACTATTTACTTTGAGCACTTATTTTACAAGAACTAGTAATTTCTGGCTGAAAATGGATTGGAGTACCACACTAAATACCGTATTCCGGTATATACCGGACAAGGCGCTTGAATGATAAAATGCTAAAATCTTGCCTTTTTACCCAACGTAATGAACTTTAACAGATCTAATTCATCTTTTCACACCGATTTATGTATAATAATTATGAATGAAAAATCGACCAAACAAACCTATTTTGTGATCATGATTTATGCAAGCGTCTAGATGTACTGCTCCAATACTGTATTGAGTTAAATCCAATGAAAATACAATTCCTTTTCCATAGGTCAAATAAATGAAAATGAAATCAAGGTGTTTCTGGAAGACGGAAAAACCTACCAAAAATGAGTGTCATACTGCTGTATTAGACGACAATGTCCAAATCCCACAGCCGTCGGAAACTCTTATCGTTCAGGTAGATGACGGAAAAGGTCCAGTAAATCAGTCAGACGCTTTGATATTTAAAAAGTATCAGAGTCTATTGAGTCAGGTGAAAGGTTTAAAAACATGGACTAAGTTTCTGTCATGCGTGAACATATTATTTATGTGTACTCTTGTTTTCACCATCGTCCGGGAACACTTGGCACATGATAAGAGAAAAGCAGACAACGACCTGTCTTTGAACATGCAATCGATAAGTCAGGATGACAAATATTTTCTACAAAACCTTCTCTCAAAAGATTCTGGAAAAATCGTGAAAGAACACGTTTTCTGCACTACATGCGAATCTTTTCGTGGTATGGAGCAACTATTCTTCGAGACGATTGAAACAAACAAATGCTGCTTGAAAGACATTTCCAACCTGATTCAACTTATGAGTTTAACAAATATGAAGGTATATTTAGATTTATTTTAGTGTGATCAATGTAAGTCTTACTATTTACTATATATGTATATGAACCAGTTAAAATTTCACTACGTGTGAGCAGTTATCGCTACAGTTGTTTGTACAGGGAATTTTAAAGCTACTTTGATGATTAGATATGCACATTACGTAAAATTGTAATATAATCTTTGAAATTTGAACGTTCCATTGATTTCAACTGCAAAATTTAATATGCATTCTAACATAAGTACTGCGCACGCAGGTATACATTAACGGAAAAGAAAACATGCATTAACGGATGGATTCCCGTGACCACTCGCCTTTGCTGCATGTTTTTTGTAAGCGTGACTCGGGGGCACAATGTAAAATAGCTTGTTGCAATATTGGCCCGGTAGTATCATAACTGCCAAATGTTACCGCACTAACACGTGGAAAGCATGGCACAATCCGTGGTGTCTAAATACGAAATACAGATAACAAAACGCTGAATTGCCGATTTATACCTATACCTTTTTGCAAGAATGACACTAACACATCTTTTTTTGTCGTGCATTAACATCTGCAGAAGCACGACGATTTATTGATTAAGTAATGGGTCTTCATGATTCTGCAGATGTTTATGCACGACAAAAGATGTATTTGCCATCTATTGTATCTTTTCCATGTAATCAATCAAATTTCTGCATACTAATGATTAGTTGTTTCTTTCATGATTATTCATGGACTAAATTTATTTCAGCAATGTAGACCCTTATTGACTTATCGTTTGGAATGCTTATATAAATTATTGTTATTTTCACCGTTTCAATAAGATGTCTGAAGGTGCATATAATATAGATCTAGATTTCTTCAAACTTTAAAGTTTATTATAATACATGTTATTTGTACATTTCTTCAACAGTAAGCGAACGAAAATTGTAAATTTTAGGTTGAGTTAAACTTAAAAATACGCGAGTATATATCCTGCATTGATAACACTGATAATCTTTCAGTAAAATAAAATTTCAACGTAATTAAAGAAATCGAAAGCGTATAGAATAGAGACATTTGTTTAGTTATGATATAAAGATTGTAACTGATTACTAGTCTGATTATTTAAAAAAAACTGGTTTGTTGCAGCAATTTAACACATTTGAATATACTTATATTTTTAGACCTTGAATGAGTTCTCATCTGACATTAAAGGTTTGGCGTCAAGTAAGTAATATATTTTGTTATCATATATTTTCTTGCGTGATCAAAACAATCTTACAATCGCTGTCATTTCATAAATATAGTTATAAAAACCCGCCATTGAATATGCTACTAAGCTCATTTCTGGCCAGGTTTTTATAAAACATATTTATGAAATAACAACACATTACATAGACTTCATATAAAGCATTTCTACAATTCCTCCAGGTATTGCTGACGTAAGAGAAGACACAGATGCTTTAACTAAGGAAATATTTAACTCCAATGAAACGGATGATGCAGTCGCAACCACCAATGGATCCACCCCGAAGGAGAACATCATGTGGGCAATGATTATGAAAAATAACAAAATACTCAACCTAATACTTAACAGAAGACGTTCAGTTATATATCTAGTTGGAACAGGTATCCACTTTCTGCTTATACTCACATACACAGTTCTGTATGTTTTTTTTTATTTTTGTGTTTGTTTGTAACATTATGCTTCACTGAATCTAAGAAAAGTAACTAATAGTGAAATATACCTACCAAAGACATGCATGCATATGCTATGTCATGAAAAGGAAAATTATCAAACCAAAGATTCGTAAATTTCATTATTATACAATGTTGGTTTGATTTTTATAGGTATACATATAAAATCAGTTCAATGTAAACAAACGATTTCCTTTAGCTTTCGAGGTTTAGTCTTCTTCAGAAAATATGGCGTTTATAACATAACAAATGACAAATGACGCAATGTTATGTTATGATAATTGAATTATTCCTTTCACATGTGTTGAAACAAGCATTGTCTCAGAATATATGCTTTCTATCTTTCAAAAGCTGGTATAGTTGAGGCACACAGTATATATGCTCTAGCTTTTATTTATGTATAACCTTTAAACATTTTAAACTGTACACTTAATGTTTAGTAATAGTTATGGTCTTCAAGAATTGCCAATGTATTGTCCAAATGATTTAAAATGTGTTATATTAAACAAGTTGTTCTCTTTATTTAAGCTTTGGGCGATGGCATATATTGGTCAGTGGAGACGGAAACTGGCGATTTATCATATGAAGGAAATAGCATTCACGTAAAAAGTGGTGGACAATATATGATAAATTGCAACATCCACTTCTCAAAGAATGTCTGCGACGGAACAGAGTAATGTTTAGTTTTGTCACTTAAGTATTATTGAATATGTTTGTATTTAAAAAAAAATTGAAATTGAAATATTATAATGTGAACATGAGAGACAAGATTTCTAATTAGTTTTACAATAATGGCATACAAGATGTTGTATAAATTTTATCAATGCAGTTGTTATTATCATTTCAAGTATAAATTTTGTTGATATTCATTTTCAATTACAATATAAAACTCACTACAATATATGAGTCTTAACATTTATTTTAGAAACATCGGTTATACCATGAACCAACAATATCGACCTGATGAAGTGCTACCTCTGGCTCGTACTCGAACTGTCTGTCCAACCGGAAGAAGTATAGACGAGGATCTACATTTACAAACCATTCTTCAAGTCGGACTGGGACAACGATTGACTCTCAAGCTTGAATATGACAAATCCTTACAGTCTATGATATCGAAATCAAATCGAAATCATTATATTATCATGTATGAATTATAAGATAATTATAAACCCAACACACAAAGGTAGAGGGAGTAGGTCATACTGGAATCACTCTGTTTTTCTTCAAACGTTGCTCTAATTTAATGTTAACATACAAAATTAATTATTAATACACCTACAATACTGTACTGTACCATAATGAATACCGGGCTATAAGTTTCTTCTTTAGCGGTTATAGTTTAAGGATAGTAATTCAATATAATTTTATCTAAAATATAATGAAACCGTATTAATTGGTATAAAAATAATATTTCGATCTGATGTTTATATCTATGACAGTTGCAAGGACAATTGGCTTTTTGGAAATAATATTTTGAAATAAATATACAAATGTACCAAACAACTTTGGATGCATGTTTACAATGCATTAAAAGCTATTGTGCTATCCTGTTGGCACCGTGGGGATATCCACGGCCGAACCATTAACAGTTATCAATTTTATTATTATTTAGTTACATGTTTATCAACCGTGGGTTAACCAACGATGTCCTGTTGATTGCTCTTGACCATTAAGCACATATTATGATATTTTCCCGCACAATATAAGCTAGACACTGAAATACTAACATTACATTGCAACAAATAATCATAATTATATTAAATACAATATGGCGACGCTCTTACTTTTCTAAACACCGAAAGGCAGAACAAAAATATTAGAAAAATATTGAATCATAGTTACTTTTAAAAGCATGTTAATTTTACAGTAACATATTTTAATAGACCAGCACAATGTGTCTACAATAAGTAATTGGTAGACTAGAAAATTGAAACTGGTACTTGTTTTGGCATATATTCTGAGTATAAGTTGTTGGACATAGTATTTTGCCATTAAACATAACCTTTGAATCATTTAACTTAAACATTTCTGAGAGGGATAAAATGTAAAATCACTCTACTGAAAACATGTAAAAGACTTACCTTTAACAATTACAGCTCGATTAGGATAATAGTAGAGTGACGCGACGGTCAAGTAACACCCTATCATATTATACAAGTTAACTCTAGTGAATCAGCTTAGTGACATCGAAATATACAAACTGTCGACGTTAAGATGTAACGGACTTAGCCGTACATTTTTCGCAAAATTGTAATTCTTGTATTTTTTGTTCGTTTTTGTTTGCCTGTATTTTTGAAATATATATTTAATATGTTTTTTATTCATGTTGTATATATTAACTTTTTTAATTGTCATAGTTCTCATTTTACTTTATAAATTTTAGATTAGTTGGCGCTCTATGTACAACGTGCTACACTGGGCAAGTTTCCATTGTAACCGGTATACCTTATATCATTGAATAGTTAGACAGTATGACAATATAAGAAATCTTCTTATGTATGATAAAAGGAAAAAAAAAAAAAAAAAAAAGCAACAAAAAACAAACAAAAAAACAAAACAAAAACACAAAAAAAGAAGAAAAAGGAAAAAAAGAAAAAGGTAAAAAAGAGATTTTTTTCTAAGCTCGAACTCGTGTTGAGGTGTTTGCTTTTAAACGCTCATGACGGCCGGCTTTACCAAGGTCACTATCCAGTCATTTACCATTCGTGTGCAAATTAACTGTAAATAGTATTTTATTCTTTATGTTTTACCTTTTTAGTCCATTGTTGAAAATGTTGGTATACTCAAAAAAGGAACGTCACTCTCGCATGATCATAGTCAAACAGTTCTTCTCTTATACTTAAGTTATTGATATAGAAACTGAGGAATAAATTCAGTTTTTTTAGTTTATATTTATATAATTCACGCTTCTTCACTCGACGGTTTTATTGTGGCTAAAATCTTTAATAAAGACATCTGTATCACTATTGATCAATTTTTATTCATGTACAAGCTTTATTCATAACATAAATATTTGTTTCTACGTGTTATAATGTTTTGCCGCTAAACGCCATATAGCGTGTTTCGCGCGTTTTACGCATGTTACGTCATGACGTCGCTTCCGGTGATAACTACTGAATGATCGGGTGGCTTGTTTGTTGAATTTAAGATGGCATTCCGCTTTTACACATCTTAAAATGTTAATTATTATGCAGTTTGATAACAATATGTTCCAAATATGGATATGTTTTAATGTGTTACCATCTGTAATTAAAATTGTTGTTATTATTATTATTTTCATCATTATCATTATGCAGGTTAGCCGATTGACAATACAGCCTGGCCACTATAATTTTAAATGATGGCAGGTTTCGATGTTACCCATTGGCAGTTTCTTTTATAATTAATACTAAATGTTACCTATGTTAATGTTTATTATATGAATAATGATATTCTTGCTTACGTTAAAAACTTTAGGAAAGTCGGTTGTTATAGTCAGGTGCCCGATTGTGCTTGCTTGATGTAATATATAGATAGGATCTTCCATAAGCAAAGCAGGAAAGTTGCCATGTGACCTTTATAATGTCAAGGTGACTTGGAATAAAATAAAACAACAACAACAACTAAAATACCCTGAAATACATATATTAAATATCGCTTAACTCGTTTTAGAAAGGCAGGCACATTCCAAGATAGTGCCATTATAATTATGTTCGCAAGATTTTATAATATTTTATATTTGTTATGATATTTGTCTAGTTATTTGTGTATACAACACTAATAGTGCATGTTTTAGAAGAAATTACTATTATTCAGATGTAATTTACAAATATTTTTCTTTCCGTGTTGCAACCTTAATAAATAAATAAAATTTACGTATCTTTATATGTGTTTAGAAATGAATACCTACTAGTCATACGATAAAATGTAAGAAAACGAAAGAAAAACAATAAAATCAAATTAATAGAAAACGGGAATCCATTTCAGACAGCGCACAGTTTCAAGTATGACGTGTAAAGTATATTTATTTGCTTTCGTTTGCAACTTCGATTTTATATATAACTAGGCTACTGATTTTCAGGGAAACTCATTATAATATTGAAAGTATGCTGATCAAAGGCATGTATTTTATTACAAGCGGCCTTCAGCTTTCATTTCCTGTTGGAAAACAATTATGTGTTGTTTCAAACTAAGTATTTCAGTAATATTATCTAGAAAAAGTGCATCTCCTTCTTCGAAACAGTGCCCTGACGCACAAATGACGTTTGTTTCCAAAAAAAAGAAGATAGGGATAGGGGCTGTACTAATTTCAATACAGAGAGCGAACCGGTAGATGGTTTCCTTATTGTCTATGTATTTCATCGTCGGCAAATTTATTTTCTACCCTATTTAGTTTGATTTGACAATTATATGAAACGATTTATCGAAAAATAACATATTTAACCTTAAAAAAAGCTGACGGCTGCTTTAAGCCTTGATACGACTATTGCCTATCATTCATGGCTTAGAGATCTACCTAGGCAACCAAACCTCATGATAAAAGGTCTTATCTTCTTCATTCAAAGTTTAGTCGCAGTAGTTACAGAAAGCAGGAAGACATGGCTAAGTACTGACCACTTGTTCATATAAAGTCTTTTCAGGAAATCAATCATGGAACCACTCCAGGTGTATTTACTATATGTTATGTACAAGCTGGCGGATGTTTATCGGCACTTGGAAGCTTTTATGGCACAATGCTTTCATTTGTCGGTGTTTCTTTTCGATTCTGTTTATTGCTCCGCGTCCAAAGGCGCGGATATATTTGTTTTTACTTTTTTGTCAATGGAATTATTCCGTTTGATTTACAGCTAAAAATAAATGCGGAATCAAGAATTCCTTCCGATTTCTATTACGTAAAGTCATATACTTGTTTCCGCCTCAGTGATTCGCAGCGTGTCATATTAATGAATGAGAACGGGAACAAATTTCACGCCCCAACCGCTTGGAAAGCAGTATAAAAGACAAAAAAAACAACAACATAAATTCGGTAATTTATTACTTTCATTTGTATTTTCTACAGGAAATTACTCATTATTTTGTAGTACACAGTGAGGTATGTATGTATGTTGCTGTACATAAATTCAAAAGCTATAAATAGATGACCTTAGATGACCTTAGCCTTGTGAAAGTCCGAAAATGTATTTCTAGAGGTAGTTTTAATTTTGATTGTTTTTCTTTGAAATCTGTGATTAAAACATATCAGTTATGAAACATGCGATAATATACGATATTGTCTTTCCGTTTTAGTATAAAAAAGCGTTTGTTTTATTGAACTTGTGACATGTTTTAGTATAGGTAAGTCAAAAACGATATGCGATCACAGTTTCCGACAAATCTGTCTTAAAATATTTTTTACATCAATCGCCGCGTCCAATATGGTAGATGTTCAACCGTCCAATAAATTTCATTATAACCCTATACTTTCAGATTTACTTAAGTGATCATTTGAACAGAATAACGAAAATAGAAAAATAAGAAATAAATCGATAATGGGAAACCAAGTCTTGTCTAAATAATGCATTGAAACGTAGTTTGCTTTCGATTTGTGCAATCGGTAAAATATAAATGGGTTTACTTTGTGGTTTTCAGAAAAAAAAAACTTCAGTATGCTGAATAATCAATCACAGGTGAACGTCGCGTGGCCATGACTTACACTATACCCCCGTTCCCCCTCTACAACCCAAAACCCTTTAACATCATCCAAACATCATAAGTATTATCAAAAATAAATTTTATGAAAAAAAATCTTTTATGACTCTAAAAAATTATAAAGGTATTTTACTCTACTTTCATTTTGCATAGAAATATCACTAGCATCTCAATTATCAGCGCATATATTCATCAATTTTACACCGATCGTAACAATCCTGGTGTCAAATCTTAGATAAATAGATACTCTTGAAGAAAACAAAACTGACACCTTCGCTGATTATACGTAGCAAGTAATATTCAAGCCCATACTGTCAACAAATGAAACTCGGTACATGTCTTCGCGCGTACAGGACGTAAATTATGCATATTCAAATCAACCATTTAGGTAATTCTTTAATTTAGCGGATTGGTAGTGACGTAATAAAGTGAACATTAATGAGGCCAAATTAAGTTTGACACTACATATGTGAGTATTCATCCGTAGCTATTCTACAGAAATTAGAAACATTCTCCGGTCGCTATCGCTCCCGTCAAAGTTTCTCGTAATTACTGTAGGACAGCACGGCTGAACACTAACATATACTTATACAGTTATTTCATATGTGATTTGGGTACAGTCAAATAGTTGGCCTGAGGTCGAAGGGATAGTGTCTTTTGAACTGTTGCCGTAGGCCGAGGGCAACAGTTGAAAACACTATCGCCGAAACCGGTCTGTTCCCAATAACTGTTTAGTTACCTAATTAATTACTGTTTTAACACTACTTGCAGAAGAATAAGGAACAACAAAATAGTTTTGCAAATATGTTAATAATTAAACTTTCTCAATTAACAGTCTTTAACTATGTTACGTTACGTCTGGTTTATGATCAAAATCGATGGACGCTTCAAGGGGCGATCCTCTATGACGTTAGAACGAGCAATTGAAACAGTCGAAACTTTTGACCTGTCAACAGTTCGCGCACGTGGATGTTTTTTTGGAAATTCAGAAAACAATAAAAATACCAAATTACATTTATGTAAGGTATCAGGTAATAATACTGAATGTTTGTGATTGATTTTGACTAAGACGCATGCTTTTCTGCGGAATGATACGATTTATTTGCGAGTCGTCAATAAAAACACAAGTACATAAAAACATTCACATCCATCAGCTTTACACTTCATGACCAATCAAGTTTCTGACTTATACCCTTGAAGAAAAGTTTTACAGCAACCGGAATTGTAAATACATTAATAATATCGTAATAGTGGATAAGCTTTTCTGTGCCGAATCTGGACAATTAGTTCATTTGAAATGTTAAATAGTTGAATTAATTTAAAGTAGCGTTAAAAATGTAACCTTCTAAATTCAAAATTTTACTATTTCATGTTTAAATGTTGAATTCTGCTTAAGCCGGTGCTAGGGGGCATGGACGGTAACTTGCACTTTCCAGTACCGTCCATGAACAGGCTCAATCAAACCGAGCCTGCAACATTTTCAATTTTGTTGTGTTGGGCTTTCTTCAGGGATTCTGTATGTATCTATTTTATATGCCAAAAAGGCATGCAGATCAATAAATGAGTGATGAGGTTCATATTTGCATATCGTTAAAATACTCTAAATGATACTATGGTGAGGGTGATATTTTAAGCCTTGATACGATTATGCCCATCATTCTTGTGGTAAAGAAGAGATCTACCTAAGCAACGAGACCTCATGATATGACCTTAAAGGGCCCAGTGTTTTTCTTCACTTTAAGAGCAGTTATAGTAGTTAAAGTGAGCTGGAACGCTTGTTCATAAAAAGCTGCACGCCTCCAGATGAGCCAAAATATTTCAAGAAAATCAATATTGAGAAAAATATATTAAGTTTTAAAGAAAGGTGAAAACATTCAAGATCCAAGTGATATTTTACATGTTATATGCTGTTTTAGACTGCTTTTGCAGTATTTTATCACCATATTTCTACTGCGTTACTAACGCAGTAAGGCTGTTTTTGCATATGTTGTCAACATTTTGGTAATTTTCTTGGATTGTAAGTGCCGATTGCAATACGTAAATTTATGCTTTATCTGTTCACCTCACAATATTTTACTTTTGGATACATTTCCAAAATGTTCATGAAAATTAACATGAATCTGGAGGCGAGCTGCTATAAAGTCTCCACCGGAAATCAAACATGGAACCGATCTAAGTGTATATTAGTTATATAACTTTTTTGAGAATAGTACACAGGTAAAGTGCAATGATTTCCACATATATATAATAATATATGTATAGCATTAAAAGCGCTAACGGAAATAAACGTATAAAAACTGAACGATATTTATGTTTTTCACTTCCTAGAAGCTTATTTTTACAGTAACAGTATATTCTATTATGATTCAAGAGCATTGGAATGAAACAAACTCAAACTAAATAATTATATATTTTAATGCAGTAAAGAACGCTCTACGACTAAATCATCCTTTTTCTTATAAGCCTACGTTTTTGCAACGTAAACTAGAACTATATTACTTACTAGTCGTAGGTTAAGGGTATGACGGTACCGGTATCATGCCAGGCAGGAATCGTGGAGTACAAACATGTTTTGCAGAAACATATATGAAAGCCAAATACGTGCCATGTTAAAAGCACACCGCATAAACTTGGCCAATAGTTATGCATGTAAGTTCCGTTTTCCCGTCCATGTTCACCAATGCAGATGATATATATTGCTTTTATAAAATGCTCGCCGTAAAGACTTGCTTTTTTTACAACAAAAAATGTGACAGTTGAGAAAAACTGAGGAAATTCTACCCATCCATCTAGATAGTCCAATCGGTCAGAGTGCGTGTGTGCTTTCTACAGATTATTATTCTGCAACATCGGATGCCCTGATTGCATGGTTCAAAATAAAAGTCTACAGCATCGTCAAAAAACAATACTTTTGTGTGACTTCGTCATTTCTATTTGTAGTTGCCCCAACTTGATATCGTAATCTAAATGTTAAACCGTAATCTTATTTAGTGAAAGCATCAGGGTATCTATTTTCGCAACATGGTCACCTAAACAATACGAAAAATTGGTCCAGACGTATTTTTTCTGATATGACAGACATTTATGTCAATGTTGCTGCACAGCGAAGCACTCCAGTTACCCGAGGTCCGCTGCTAGACAGACTCACAGGGGCAACATTGCAAATATTCTAAATGAATACTGGAGTTTGAACTTATACCACCCTTTCATGGACCATCTATTGACTGAAGTGGAAGAGAGGCTTTTCATTGCTTTTCTGAGCATGAAAGCACAAATAAAATTATCTAATAATAAGGCAGCTTACCCCAGATATAATGGTAATTCAATATGAGTATGTTTTTTTAATGATAAGGAAGCAATATATTATGGAAGAGTTGTATGGAAGCAACAGATATCTCTATATTTATGTGCAGTTGATTCCGCCGTAGAAGAGGCCTTGTAAATACAACACGAGTACACCGTGTAAACGCAATTCACCTAGGTTAGAAGGCAATACTAGTAACACAACACCTACAACTTCTGCAATCTTTGATTTGAGAAAAATTTGCCACATTGACTTAACTATAGCACAGTCCTGCCACCGCATCGTTCATAGGCAGACTGTGGAGACGTTTACCTTTAGTAGTTGCTTTCACTTTCGCAAGAATCTGTTTACTTGAATGTTTACTTGAATGTTTACATGCCAGAGCGAATTTACATTGAAAATGACCATAGAAAGGATTTCATGATAAATTACAATGAAATGACCTGCATCGTCTGGGAATCGAACCTTGATCGCCTGATTCACAGTCCAACGCTCTACTTATTAAGCTACCCGGAACGTATCACTGAAATAGTACTTATAAATATCTGGAAATAAATGATCCCTCGAAAGCATTATAATCAATAAAATAACATGAAAATTGCAGACTTTGTTTGATTGAGTCTGTACATGAGGGATAATGAAAAAGGTACATCCATCATGCCCCCTCCCCTAGCACCGGCTTGAGTGGTACTCAATTCTCATCACTAAAAAGTGCTGGACTCAATGATCCCGAAGAACCAGAAAATTATAACAGCACTGAAGTGTAGAACAGGAGAAATTTTTAATTTAAAAAATGGATTATTCATGCCAAGGCACGACAGAACGGGCTTACATTTAGAACTTGTAAACCAGCTAAATAATTTTTCATTTCTTTGCTTTTCGTCGTTTTAGCGTAGTGATAGAGTAAGAAGTTATTTGTTGTTTTAAACGGAAGTCCGATAGGACAAGTCTGTAAAATATTGAGCTGAATAGATATAGGTATGTATGAACTTCAAGGTATTTAAAGAGTGTTCACTTTGTGAAAGTAAACATGGTAAAGACGCTGACTCGTATCCTTGAAAAAATAATTTTGTTTTTATTTCGTTTTGTACAACTAACTAGGTTTCGGTTCTCGTGAAATTCATTCACACAATGCTATCTGAGAACATTTAGTTTTACACACATCCGCATTCAACAGGTTAAGTTAAAGACATTACAGTCGTGATTAGGGTGCTAAATGAGCAATGAGGTGTTAAATGAGCAATGTAAGAAAATACAGTTATTAGAGTTTTAAAAGTGTTGAAAATGGAATTTAGTGTACTGAGTTGCGTTCATTGAACGCCATCTTTCCATATTGATCTTGTTCATCATATTTCAAACAGATTAAAATTGATAATAATGTCAACTTGTTCAATAGAATGACAGTTAAGTTAGATACATTCAATTTAACTTCACAGTCATAAGTCGAACTTTAAATTGTGCAAAACATTTAATAATTTACAGATTTTGTAGAAAAAATGAAAAGTTATGTGATACACTATAAAAGATATCTTCTGAAATTATAAACCATACTCTAGTAAAGCGCAGATTTGAACTCGAAAAACTATATATAAATAACCTGAAATCTTAATAATCTGAACTAACTACTACGCTTTTCGATTTTACGTCTCTATGTTCACTTTTATTCTTCTATATTGCAATCAAAGTGCAAATATAAAAACTGAATAACTTGCTTAACCCATTATATCATTTATATAATGGGCCGACCGATTCACTTTTATAGCGCGCATGATAACGCATGTAAATCAATTGACGTTTTCAGATAATTTGGTCTAAAATAAAACTTGTTTTCCGAAAATGGTTAAATAAACGTCTTCTATTGATAAAATTTTAAAAAACCTGTGAACAATGATCCCATTTTAAGTATTTCACAAAAAGATGTTATGTAAAAAAACATGAGCAATGATTCTAAAGGAAATCTAGTTGGGAATTTACAAATAGGTTTCGTCATTGCTTACTAATATTTAAAAATGTAAAGAACATTGTTTTATGCTTTAGTTATGTAAATAAATATCTTATATATTACATGTTAGCATACCTTTACAAATACTTACTAGTGTCTTACATTGATATAAGTGTGTACGAGGGTTGTCCCAAAATATCGTAGACAAAGCCTGTTACTCAATCAATTATAATACAATTGAGTCCTCCAGTCAGAGAAAAGTCAATACACCTTTTATGTGTGTCTATGCAAAATAAAATCAAAATACCTCCAAAATTGACCAAGTTATCAAAATTTAAAGAATGCTACCTATACATACCCGGCGCACGCCGTCATAAACGTCATGACGTTATAACATTTTTTTTAAAAATTTCAAAGTATTCACCGTGTTTCGCGATGCACTGACAGTGTGGGGTAACCAATTTATATCATAAACGTTTTTCAAAACAGTTCCTGCTTCAATGTACTCAACACTCGCCAGAGTTGAGTTTCCTGGCGGAGTTCGCTGAAGTTTTCGAACCTGTGACCTCGTAATTTTGATTTCAAATAAAGAAACACTGCAAAAGTCTAAGGGCGTACGGAAGTCTCTGAAAAACCTATCACATCAAGTTCAATCTGTGTCTCCTTAGATCTATCGCAAGGCTGCATTATCTTGATAAAATATAATGTTTCTCCATATTGTCAATTAAACGCTGGACGCTTCTTCAACTTAAACATATGTATTCAGTGACATTGCGTTGCGCCGCATTTTTTCATTGACTGACGTCGCCATTTTGGGGCGTTTTCAAAATAGCACTGCTTTACGTATTTTGCTACAGACTTTTCAAAATTAACGTGACATAAACGTCTGATTGGTGATATGACGTAAAAAATGAATGAGGTAATTCCACATGAATGTATTTCCCATAATTATTATTATGCTGGAAGTTAAAGGCATTATTTTTTAAGAAGCATGCTCTCAACACTGACTAATATTTATCGTGCTCCGGGTATGTTTTACTGTTAAATATAAAACCCTAATTTAAAAAGCGTTACCTAATATATTGGCTATTGACTTTCAGTAGGTAAATTAACAAATGACCAAGGAAGATATCTGGTAAATTTTAATAAGTTATGACGTCAGGTTGAAGAGAAAATAATGTAGTCTACGACATTTTGGGACAACCCTCGTATTATTGCGCAATTTGGAAACCGATACTATAGAATAGAACTAAATAATAAACAAAGACAAAAATGTTAAAATTTAGATCTTTCAGATTGTTATATTGCAACACAAAACATGTTTAGGCAAAATATAGCAATTAGTCTTACCAAACAACTATGTTGAGGTGCAAAATAGTTACATAACATTTTCAGGGAATAGTCTTTTTTTTTAATCATTCATTTTCTGAAAATAGAAAAAATATAAACTTTAACAACGAGGAAACATTGATTGAATATTAGGCCTATCATTAAGATCGGAACAAAAGATCGGCTCATTAAAGGTATGCTTTCTCTTTCTCATGAGTGTTTAACTTACATGTTTTAAGTAAAGAAGCAGGTATAAAAGTTAATTATACTTCCGGCATGGCAGGCCTAAATGCATGTGTGGTGTAGTCGTGGGTCGTATGTCTCTGAACCCTGTTACATTAGAAAAAAAATGTTGAAAAAATATTTTATTTAAAGTTGTTTGAAATTGTATGTAGTTAAAATGTTTTCAATCTCTTACAAGAAGGACTTATATAATTTGATATGATCTAATACGGCATTGTCTTCCAAAAGCAATGCTTATATCGGGGTGTATTGATTCGTTTCAAGAGCTTGATTTTTGACATTGTTTATATTGACTATGAGAAGTGATACGAATATCGTTACAAGCCACTTATAATAAAAGGTTACTGAATTTCAAGAGCTTACTAGTGTTCATTTTTATGCACCCACATAAAATATAATCTGCATTTAGTGGCTGTATGTTTGTTTAAGTACATTTGTTTCTTACATGTATAAGTATTTCTTATGCAAACTCTGTTACATATATCATAACATTTGTTCATACTGGTTAACAATACTTCTCGGCTAATTGTAACTTGTAACACTTTACACTATACAGAATATGATTTGACTATAAATTGTATGTTTACAATTTTATGTTAAATAAAATTTATGTTATGTTATGTTATGTTATGTAAGTACGTCCTGTCGATCAAAAAGGGATAAGCCGTGGTTTATCTAAATTAGTAGGGATTACCTATAGCCAAAATATGACTTATGATGATTGTGAGACTTATTTAGACCATGGTCACAGTGGAACTTGAGGTGAAAACCTAATACTTCAACAGTCATAGGTTAGGAAACCTAATAGCTTTAGTAATATTATTTCATATGTATAATTATATCAATAATCAATGTAAGACTTGACCTTAATGAATATGCATTAAAACGTCACTGTGACAAGCGAATGACACGGGGGATTTGTTTCCAAACGATACATGTATATTTCAAGGCTTATATGTTAACCAGGACGCAATTAGTTATAAACCCTATTTCTTATTTCTTCAGGTAAGCCGTGAAGAGCAAAAAATAAAAAATAAAAAAAAAAACAAAAAAAACAAAAAAAAAAAATCAAAAAAAAAAAAAATAATAAAATAAAATATGAAAATTGTTAGTTGTTCTGGAAAGTCATTTGAATCATTGAAACATGAACTTATGCATCCTAAGCAAATGGAGTATGAACCCAGGGGTGATCAAATCGACGTTTCAAATAATGCCGGTAAGTGTACTCCAGAATGCAAAGAACATATGGTTGAAGTGGCCCTTGAGCAGAGTTTGGGACTATGTAATGAAATTAAAGTAATCAGGCGGGGATGTTACTTTGTCACCTGCTTAAACATGGTACTTTTATGTATATGTTTCATCGTCAGTTTTAAGCAAATCTCAGAGGATGAAAGAAAATTTGCAAACTATACGTCAATAGCAGAGACTTCGAATAATAAAGATGACAACACTTTACACAAATATCTGACATTGAATGAGTCTTTGAAGATAGTTCAAGAGCAGATTTTCTGTACAACATGTGAGGCTATTAGTGGCATCGAGAGATTATTTGTTAGAACAGTTGACGGAGACAGATGCTGTGTAAAAGATGTTCCAGATCTTATACAACTCATCAGATCCACTAGTTTAAAGGTATCGCTTCATTTATTATTTTCTTTTTGAGACACTTCATGAAGTTTACTTATAATAACTATCAAAGTATATTTACTACTTTGATTTCATTTACTGTCAAAATTATTTACGGCCATGTTGCAAAGTCGTTTTGATTTAAACATATTTTAATTCAAAATACATATTCTAATCTAGATAATTTACATATTAAAAAAGAAAGGAATTGGATTGAGGGCTGTTATAGCTCATTGTAGTCCTCTCCTGTAACAAAAACGGAACGCTCATATAATACATGGCTTATTATAATAACAATCTACTCTATTAAGTAAAAAAGTAAAAGAAAGCAATTGACAGAGAATAAAGGATAGACAAAAGAGGAGAATGCGGATACTTTTATATAGAAATAGTATAACATTTACAACCGTTTTGGTATAAACTGAGTCTAGGGAAATTATGTGAAAATCGTTTTAAACACACAAGTACAATTGTACAGTGCCATTAAGCGCGAAAAAAAATAAATATTTCATTTTGCATTTTTATATAATTTATATACATTTTTGGTTGCCTGTTACAGTTTATAAAAATAATCATTGACCATATGTCGATATATACGGGGGTTATCAAAAAATTCGTGGACTTTTAAATATGTCTTGAAAGTCAACGTGTATTGTAATGAAATTTTATCAGCATACCTTGTAGAATATTATTAACACATTTTGAAAGGAATAGTTAACTGCGTCAATAAATAATGATTTTATGCTGCTTATATTGCTCGTATGTATTGACTTTTCATGTTTTCATGAACAATTCTGAAAGTATCCATTCATTTAAAAGATTTGAAACATAGATATTGTATAATCTTCCTTAAGACCACCCAGAGTAATAAGTTTTGAAATTATTTTATGTTTTTTTAATGAAATAACATCTGTTAAATGTGTTTATCATTTTAGAGTTTGAGCGAATATTCGTCTGAGATAAGCATTTTGAGGGCAAGTAAGTACAATCAAGCAAATTTTGTTACTCGTATCATTATTTCATCGTGAAATAGATCGAATCTGACAACCATTGCCAATTCATACAATATTGTTATGAAATTGGCCATTGCGAATGCTACTGTACTGAAAATCGGCTGACAGTCCGACCGCGTTATATTGAATTGTATGACTGAAGTAACAAAATATAATATAAATTACATGTGTAATGCGTAACTATTATATTCTTTTGCGACAGATATTGATGATATAAGAGAAGATACAAAAGCGTTAACAAATGAATTGTTCAGCTCCAACAAAACAAACGATACAGAGAGAAATATTGGATTAACTGCAAGAGAAAATATCATGTGGTCAATGTTAATGAAAAATAACCGGCTGTTTAACTTAGTGCTCAACAGAAGACGATCAGTGTTGTATTTGATAGGAACAGGTATTTGGTTACTGATTATACGAGAGTAAAGCGTCCTATACGTGTCCGTTTGTATTGTGCGTGTTGGTACATATGTAACAATATATATGAATTTCAGTCATCTTCTGTGTTGTTTTAATTACCTAATCACCGTCCTAAGAAAAATTAAATGCACGTACAAAACGGGATGAGCCGAAAATTCTGTCATGTTGGCTTGAATGATGATAACTTGAGTGAAGTTGGAAATTTTAAGACATTTGTCAGATTTGTAAAAAAAGTTTCTTTTGTGAAAAAAAGAACCAGTTTACATAAACGTGCACTAGTATATTTTACTTTCTATATTTATTTTTTCAGTTTTAGTTTTAAGTTCTATATTTATTTTTATTACTTCTTTTGTTTTTTGCCTATTTTAAAGGTAGGGTTTACGTCGCACCGACACAGTATATGTCATATAACGACTTTCCAGCTTTACTGGTTGAGCAAGCCCTCGGATGCCCACTGTGCATTTTTCTTAAAGGCACAAATTGGCACCTGAGTAAAACCACCGGCGTTCTGTAAGCTAGCTTGAGAGTTTCCTCACATGAAAGAAGCCAGAGTCCATGTATACATTAAAACAAGACGATGCACATGTCATGAAATTAAACATCTAATTCATACATTTTTTATGCTATCATGCATTACTGATAATTTAAAACTAAGGATTGTCAAAATAACTTATATGAATATATAATATCTTGCTTTAAGCTGTAGACAATGGTATGTATTGGTCAGTGGAGACAGCAACTGGCGATTTATCATATGAAGGAAATAACATTCACGTGAACAGCGGTGGACAATATATGATAAATTGCAACATCCACTTCTCAAAGAACGTCTGCGATGGAACAGAGTAAGTATACTTTTTCCGTTTTATTATATAAGATGAATTAATACAAATGTTTTCAAATGTTAGAGTTTAACACAAATAATTACAAATACAAGATGGGCATTATCAATTCACATATCATCTCCATTATTTAGTATTTAAATAGAGCTTTGCACATATTATTCCGTATTTTCCTGTATTATTACACAAACTTTCCGTTACCTACCTGGATAGCTTTCTCACATGATGTACCAGTCCCTGACGAGATTCGAATCCACAGTGGTGAGGGTCTAGTAGTTATAAAAGGGTATTACTGTTGAATTTTAAATGAAAGATTTCAGACATTGATAGAGATAAGATTTGAAAGATATAGAAGTCAAAAGGCGATAATTAAATTAATACACAAATTTTGATACAGAATTCTAAATGTATTTCAATTATAAAAGAAAATAATGATAATTATATTTATTTAGAAACATGGGCTATACCATGAATAAAGAATATCAGTCTGGAGAAATACTCCCTATAGCCCGTGCACGTGCTAGTTGTGCAAGCGGAAGTAAAATAGACGAAAATCTTCAACTGCAGACGGTACTACAAGTGGGTCTTGGACAACGCTTGTTACTTGAACTTCAATGGGACAACAAGTCAATGTCAATGATATCGAAATGGACTAGAAATCATCACATCATTATATATGAAATATGACATTATAATGAAGAGGTTTTATATCTTTGGTGAATTAATATTGATGTGAATGTTTTGTTATCATGTTATCTTAGTTTTGATATAGTCGAATCTAGGATTTTATGACGGTAAATTTTATTTACCTCTTACATATATTACTAGGCTCCATAAGTCCGAGTCAGCAACATGTCTAATTGTGCTGTGATTTGCCAATCTCTAATGGCTCATTATGCTTTAGAAATGTTTTTTCTTTTATTTCTATTTTTTTTTACTTTTGGTGTACTTTAATAGTATCCAAAAATTCCTCATTTGCCAATTACCCGAACTATCATTTTTTATTTGTTGCTTTTTTGGCAAAATGTACAGTTTTTGTGAATTTGTATTTTGTATTGAAATCAAACTTCTACCATGTTTACATTTTGCTACTTTTATGACAAATTATTTCACATGTATTGTTACTTTCTTCACATGCTTCAGGGAACAAGCATAGAACATTATCTAAATTCATTATTCAAACATTATGAAATTCATGTTTGAACTTTCTAAACAACTAAAAATCGATTTGTTTCTGTGTGCCTTTGTGATGGACTTTGCTAATCATATCCTTTAATACATGCATGTGTGCCATTTTAATACAATTTATTTTAAATAAAAAAACAATTAGGACGTGTAGTAGCTGTTTCATTTTTGAGTGTAAATGAAATTCGGGCTTTTATATCTACGGCTGGTAAACACATAATATCTTAAAATTGAAAAAAGACGTTTGTTACATTGTAACTGTTCAATACGTCTTTGAATGTGTCAGGGGATGCGTCCTGTGAACGTTGCATTTGCCTTGTTGATCTTTATTCTCGTCTTTTGTATTGTACGGAACGTACGTATGTTAATTCATTAATCAGTTTAAGATGTACAACCTCTATGGTTTTAGCTAATCTGACCACGAAGTGCTCAGAGGTGAGCTTTTGTGATAACATTTTGTTATTTTGTCGTTCGTCGTTGGAAATACAGCGTCATCGGCATTTTGAGTTACTCTATGGAATTATTTAGAATATGGATAATGATGCCCATGATCGGTAAGGTTCTCTCTTGTGCTTAAACTATACATTAATTGGGCACCTGAGGTGCCATAGAAATTCGCCATATGACCTTTATATTGTTGTTTTTTTCCACTCACAAACCGACCTCTCGTCCCCCGCCCCACCCAGGATAAATGTAAGAGAATATCTATAACTTTGTTCTGTTATAAGTAAAATGTACGAATATAGTGCTTACAAACTATTCATATGATTTGCAAAATTTCATATGATATTTGTCTTGTTATCAGTGTAAACTACAAGTGTAGCATGTGCTGTCAATATTCTGTAATATACTGCAATTGTATTGGGCAAAAAAAAATTCAAACGCTAATGATTTATCAAGATTTAGTTGTTTGTAAAATTATACCAAATCTAATACTCATCGTTGTTATTAATGTTATGCTTTTTCTATTAGAGAAAATGAGACGGGTCTATAGTTCTTCTATCTGAAAAAAAAAATCAATGTAGTCAATTGCCACTGTGCAACATAAAGTTTAATTAAGTTCAAAGTTAATTAAATCTAGTTCATAGTTCGTGTTATTTAGTTATTCGTGATCATACAGGGTTTTGCCGAAAAAAATATTGATAACCATGTTAGTCCGCTTGACCATATCAGGCCATGAATAAAATATTGTTTGCTTCCCCTTCCGCTACCTACCTACAAAAATCACAGCTACCAAAAATATTTTAATTGCCTAATTTACTAAACATTGAAGCATAGTCTGTCAATGAGAATCGCATATCTTCATGTCTGTCTCATGTTTTTTAATTGTTAATATACAGACTGGGATAATGTTGAATATGAATAAATCTTTGAAAATATGGTTCTTATCTTTAAACAGATGTGTAGCATTCACAATTAGTTTTGAATTCGTTATAATTAATGAAAGCCCTTGTACTTTTAAGATGCTGGACCGGATAAGTATTTCAGAATACAAACTTTAAATTTGAGATTATCATGTTGGGTTTGCTTTAAGTACTGTAGAACAGGAAAAATATAAGAACAAAGATCAACAATGCAAAGCGACATTAAGAGAATGCAACCCATGACAAAATACAGTCACACTGGACTACCGCAAAGGCATTCAGTAGGGCACCGGACAAAAAACAAGGAGAGGGCACAAAAGTCTGGGCATGGGGTGGCCGTACCAATAAATTGAAAAGTGACAATTAAATATACCCCTAAATGTCAAAGCTATTTAAAACAATTTAAAAACAAGTGAAAAAACAACTAAGTTGTATGTATTCAATAAGTTTTCAAGGAACATCTGTGACTAATCAATAAGATCTTTGTTAAATCATTTGGCAGTTTAATATTTGACTGAAAAAAAGAGTTTGCGACTAGAAATCCGTGAACTACAAGTTTTCAACTCAAATACGCTTGAATAAGATATTTTCGTGTATTGAAATTTTATTTGGAACATGCAAATTCAAACAGTTACACAGTATTGGAAGATACATATTTTGTCTTGTTTGGTGTACTTAAGGACTGTCAGACAGATGCGAATAAATGAGCATAAATAGCCCTGGACTGTCACATGTCAAATCTTAAAATATGTACATAACCAGTTTATATCTGCAATAGCTTCGTCATATCAGAAGCTAGGAGGCTATGAGCTGAAACCGAGTGTGCCTTAAACATTGTTTTAAAGAATAGGCATATTAAAGAATTTCAAAATAACATACAGACCCCCTAACCTGGAGAAAATACGTGCGAATGTTGTAAATATTTATGACTCAGTAGCCATTTTGTAAAGTTTGCAACCAATTTTCTCGCTTGAAGCAAGTGTGCAACCACTTCACGTCCTGCCCCTTGTAGATATTTTGCTATAGTCTCCCCTCTACATATCTCTGAATCTAGCGTTGGTACGTCAATATATTTTGACTATTAATTCCTCAAACCTGCTGAATTTCAGTAAGGACTTATCGACTAGTAAATCACTATTTACTGTTTATCGCCTATTTACACGTCCACTGAGTTGAAAGTGCTGCCATCACTAATTGGCTTTCTGAAGGATAGGTTTCTGAAGAGGCAGCTTTTCAAGATACACACAGTTTATATAAGTGTTTTTTTCACAATTCTATTGCGAATATTACATTTCTGTATTTTTAAATATAGTCTATACCACAATATTAATTTTAGCCAATATAAAATGAATCAAATGTTGGGAAATTCCTTTATTAGTGATAATTATCTTCTAAATAAACAAAGTTACGTAGTTAAAAATTTTTAAAATCAGCCTTGTCAAGAACATGCCCATCGTTCTTGTGGTACAACAGATTTTACATCAAAACAAATGAAATTGGCTTCAAGCAAGTTTTCAAATAAATCTTCCTAACACATACATATGTAAGATTATAGATTCTGTAAGCAGATTCTATTTATATAACCAATGATTACTTGCCAATGCACTGTTGTTTATTTCATTTTTGTATTCAAATAAATTCACTACCAATTCACTAAGTCAAACATATAACCACTCAAGAAATATATTAATAATACTATGATATTAGAATATTGATAATAGTGCTAATTTATAGGGCTATAAAGTCACCAGTTCATTATTGTACATAGTTGCCAAGAACTGATGTATGAGACCTCAATTGAAAGTTCATTTTGATACTATAAGAATTTTCCGTTGAAGATACTGCATCGACAACAACTAAATACGCCAAATTATAAAAAAAACATAAAGCGCAAGCTGCATTCAAACATTGAGTGGGCTGCATTTAGTCAATTAATTAATTTTTTTTCTTCTATGTGCAATATTGCGTGAATTGTATTTAGCGTTTTCTTTCCTTTTTCAAAAAATTTGGTTAAAATTTAACATTTTTCCGAAAATTATAGTATTAAAAGTTAGCATGACGTTATCACAACCGAATCATTCAATACGACAATGTAAGGCTGGTGAATAAGGTGTCATTTAAATAAAAATGACGATTGATTTTAAACCATGAGAAACATGTTTGAAATATTTTGAGTTATTATTCATATAGTTTCCTCATTGATTACTAATTTTTAAGAATATGAAGATAACAATGTATATTATGTTTGTAAAATTAAGCTTATATAAGGTAATGGTATCCCATCATTTTTGACACTTAAATATACATGTATAAAGTAATTAGTTTTGTCTTAATATATTTAAGTCGTAATATGGAATAACAATGCCCCGAGCTTAGATATGTTGCATGTAGCATTGCCTTGTTAACATCTACAACACTGGTTGTAACAATGACCCTTTGGTTCAATATAGTCACCGCCACGAGAGCCACTGGGTTAATATAGACTTGTATAGGGAATACAATGCAACCTAAATGTATGTATAATGCCCAGACCTTTCAAATACGACATATTGTAGTCCCTTGTATACCCCCACAATGCTGATATAAAGCCGCCATGAAAAAAATAAAAAGAATTCCTATCCAAGTTTAAAGGAATTGTATTTTGAATTTTACAAAAGATAGCATATACATGTATAAGAATAATATATCAGTTGTTTGGATCGTTGATAGACGTTATCTTTAGCTTTTATCGAAAACCGTCCACTGCTATTTATAAACTGATTGTAACTTTATCAATTGTAGGTCAATATTCAAATGGAAAAATGCCATATTTCGAGATTTATATAGTATTTCACAGTGAATGAAACTAATTAATTGAAAATATATCACGATTTCAGAAAATTAGGAGAGTAAAAGAGTAAGCTGATTTCCGAAAAAAAAGTTTTTGGACTTTTAGAGATTCATCGCGATTTCAGATAATTAAAATAAAAGTGAAAGTAGTTTTCCGGAAAAAAAAGTTTTTTCAAAAACAAAAAGAAGAAAAAAGGAGCTGTCTAACAATAAATAAAATGTAAACAAACACTCAATATGATTTTTTTTCTCCCATTCATATCATTTGTTTATGGTGTTGCATAAATAGAAATGAGCAATTGTCTTAGAGGAAACCAGTTAAAAGAATTTTTAAGAAGTGATCTTACACTGCTAAGATAAATATGTAAGATAATTCTTATGTAATCGTTATGTTCTAGTTCTCTCCCCTGATAAAAATCAACAATGAATGTAAACAATACATTAAAATGCTGGCTCTCTTGTGGATATTAATTCTGTTCTCGGGTTGCTAATATACACTATTACCCTAAGTGGCATGTTTTTATTATTATACCGAGCCACTATTTAATTATACTCAGTAGAGTTAATGTGATAAGAGCGTCCAGGGAAGAGAACTACAACAATACGCTTTCTTAATTATATATAGATTACTCGCCCCTTGAATATTGCACAAACAAAAAATAATTATAATAAAAAGATTGATTATTTTGATATAAAAATAACTTAATTAAAGGTACGACAAAATCAATTGATACGTTGTCTTTTGACTACGAACTATATTCCGTAATTTTCCAAAGACCTTAGTCACTTGCCATGCATTTTTGCTCAATCTCAGATACGCTACTTGTATTTTAGACCGGTGATATTTGCAACTTTAACTGAAAACTGTTCTCGGCTATTTATAAACCAGTTGTCACACTAAATTACTCGTAGATCAAGGTTAGGATGGAACTATCACGGTTTCTATTTGAAATTTGGGGAAACAAATTTTATTTCACTCTATAAAGAAGTAAACAAGTAACAAAAATCAACTTGTTTTTTAATCGGCACCAGCTTGTCACTTTTAAAGCATGTATCATATTCGCAAAAAATTAAGAATTCAAAATATAGATGATATAATTAAATAGCATAGTGTTTGTTTATAGTTTTCAGAGCTTTTCCGCGGCAAATGATATGAAAAATTTTGATAATCTATTTTGCATAATCTACCCTCAATAGCTTTCTTTTGAAAGAAGGTCAAAGATTTAAGTCGCATCGTCGCATCGTCTGTTTAAATCGTTAAACTTTGATGTTTTCTTATTAAAGCGTCTAACCTTACCCATCTGATAATTCAGACTTATAATTAAGTTAGTTGTAAGCTATACGGTACAACAATGCATAGATTACCCAATCGAGACAAAGAAAGATATACACGTATATATTGCATAAACATATTTGTATTGTGTATATTTATAATAAATTACGTAATAAAATTTTTTCTATATTTTCTGAAAATGGTAATACATATTTTCTGAAAATGAAAAGAAAAGCAATATAAAAGTGCGCTGAACAGTGGTTTATGGAAGGTATGTTTAAGTTTTTTCCATTAAATTTAAAGGGTTGGTGTCCTTTATAAAACAGATAATAATATTAATACGAGCACTTATTGTGACAATTTTAGAATGCCAACATAATTATGTGAGATATGACGAGTCATGCGTTGCAACATGTGTACGGCGCTTAGCGGCTAGCTAGATTAGTAACTAGTACCCCAACCTTTCTACTCCTCACCCCTATCATCCAATCATTTTTTTTTAAATAATATAATTGAAATATTACATATCAGTAAAAACTAGAGCTTATTGTGTAATCAATATAAAACATACTACATGTACATGTATTTATAAATTTATAATTATTAAATTATTTCTTCTGGTAAGCTGTGAGGAAACAAGATGAAAATCCTACGTTTTTCTGAAAAGCCATCTGACTCAGTAAAACAGAACTTAGCGTATCTGGAACCAAGGGAGTGTGACACCAGAGCTGATCAAATCGAAATCTTAATAGATTCCCACAATGGAACTGCAAAAGGCAAAGAACAGGTTGTTGATGTAACCTATGAGCAGATTGCAACACAATGCAACGAAATCAAAGTTTTCAGAAGGTTATTTTGTATGGTCATCTGCATAAACACAGTTATTTTTTGTGTATGTATCATAACCGTTGCATTGCAAGTCTCAGATTTTGATGGAAAGTTTGAAAACTTTACTTCTATGACAGTGACATCGAACAATCGAGATGTCAGTGATTTTCAAAAATCTCTGATTTCGAACGAGTCTATGAAAATAGTTCAAGAGCACATTTTCTGTACGACATGTAAAGTTTTCAGTGGAATCCAGAGATTGTTTGTCAGGACAGTCGACGAAGACAGATGCTGTGTAAAAGATGTTTTGAGTCTTATACAACTTATCAGATCAACTGGTTTAAAGGTATCGCTGGATTCATTATTTTCTTTTTGAGACATTTCATTAAGTTAACTTATAACTTTGTTAATATATTTACTGCTATTTCATGTACGGTCAAAATTATTTTACAGACATGTTGCAGAATCGTTTTGATTTAAACATATTATTATTTAAGATATAATTTTATTTAGATAATTTACACAATAATTTTTTATCTGAAAGACCCTGTTTACATATTAAAGAAGAAAGGAATTGGACCGAGAGCTACAATATCTCATGGTAGTCATCTCCTGTAACAAAGGCGAAACGTTCATATAATACAAGACTTATTATAATTACAATTATACTCGATACAGTAGACTCCCTACTTAAGACCACCCCAGAAGAAAGACCACCCCGCTTTTAAGAACATTTTCTATAAGAACGGAATTTTCTGTTCTTAATGTCAGTGGTTACATGATCCAGAATTAAGACCAACTCGCTTATCCACTTTTAAGACCACCAAATTCAGTTCAAATTCTTTTTTTATTTGACCCCACTATCGAGACCACTGATTTAAAGTCAACACCCACCTAGATCTTAAATTTGTTGTTATGTTGTTATCATCTGCTTGAATGCTATTGGGCATGACACTTGATTTCACAAGGTGTCAAAAACACCATAATAATATTTTGGAATATTCTATGAAATAAGGTGAATATGTAGTTTTTAGAGTGGTTTAATGTTGTTTTAAGCATATTGATTTAGCGAAGAATTAATTGTTCATTTGATGGGTGAATTATTTACATCATATAATAATTAATAATTAATATTGAAATCAGACCAAATAGAATTTGATAATACATTTCATTAGAAATATGTTTTCTTCCCATTATAACATTAACGACATTAACTTTTATATTGCATTTGCGGGTTAAGATACATATTGTTTGTACACAAAATATTATAGACAAAATGACTAAAATAGACCATTGTCATAAAGTGTGTAAGAAATGAAAAGAATATTCACAAATACGACCACTCTGCAATTAAGACCACTTTGGTCCGGTCCCAATAGTGGTCTTAATTGAGGGTTTTTACTGTAAATATGTAAGCAGTTGACAGAGAATAAAAAGGTAGAGAAAAGAGGAGTATGCGGATGATTATATATAGAAATAGGGTAAAAATTACAATCGTTTTGATATAAACTGGGTTAGTTAAAAGGAAGTTATGTGAGAAATGTTTTAAACACACACGTACAATTGTAAAGTGTCATTTAGCACGAAAAATAATACAACTTTTGTTTCGCATTTTTGTTTTCACATATATCTTTGGTTGCCTGTTACAGTTTATAAAAATAATCATTGACCATATGTCAATACATACATGTATATACAATTATGAAAAGACGACTTTTCATGTTTGCATGAACAATTTTGAAATTAAAAAGACTTGAAACAAAATGATTGTATAACTTTAGTTAGTATTACCCAGAGTAATGAGTTGGATCTTTTTATATGAAAAGTTTAAGCCAATCTTTTGCAGAAAATAACGTCTTTTAAACATGTTTATTATTTTAGAGTTTGAACGAATATTCTTCTGAGATAAGCATATTGAAGACAAGTAAGTAAAATCAAAAATTATTTCGTCGTGAAATAGATCCAATCTGCCAATAATTGCCAATTCGTACAATACTTGTATTATTATGAAATTGGCAATTGAAAATGTCACTGGGCTGAAAATCGGTTGACAGTCCGACCGCGTTATCTTGAATTGTATGTCTCAAATAACATTATATAATATAGATTATGTATGTAAAAATTATATTTCTTTTGCGACAGGTATTGATGATATAAGAGAAGATACAAAGGCGTTAACAGATGCATTGTTCAGCTCCAACAAAACAAACGAAACAGATACAAATATTGGATCCACTGCAAAAGAAAATATCATGTGGTCAATGTTAATGAAAAATAACCGACTGTTTAACTTAGTGCTCAACAGAAGACGATCAGTGCTTTATTTGATAGGAATAGGTATTTGGTTAAGTATGATTATACGAGAGAAAAGGCTCTTATACGTTTCCGTTTGTATTGTGCTTGTTGGTACATACGTAACTAGATAAATGAATTTCAGTCATCTTGGTTTTTATTACATTACCTAGCAAAGATATCTGTTCACCGTCCTAAGAAAATATTATAATGCACATACAAAGCGGGATGAGCCGAAAATTCTTTGACGTCTGTCATGTTGGCTTGAATGATGATAACGGAAATTTTAAAGACATTTGTCAGATTTGTAAAAAGTTTCTTTTTGTGAAAAAAGATTCAGTTTTAATGAATTTGCATTTGTGCATTTTACTTTAAATAATTATTTTTTAAATATCAATGTCGAATGACACGAAAATGATGAGTTATTTTGTGTTTATCATTATTTTGTTGGGTTTTACGTCACACGGGCACAGTTTAGGTCATATAACGACTTTCCAGCTTTACTGGATTAGGAAGACCTCGGAACCAACTGTGCATTCCTCTCGAGCCAGGAAGTGGCACCTGAGTAAAACCACCGTCGTTCTGTAAGCTAGCTTGAGAGTTTCCTCACATGAAAGAAGCCAGGGTCCATTAAAACAAGACGATACACATGTCATGGAATTAGACATCTAATTCATACATTTTTTATGCTAACATGCATTAATGATAATTTTAAACTAAGGATTGTCAAGATAACTTATATGAATATATTATATCTTGCTTTAAGCTGTAGACAATGGTATGTATTGGTCAGTGGAGACAGCAACTGGCGATTTATCGTATGAAGGAAATAACATTCACGTAAAAAGCGGTGGACAATATATGATAAATTGCAACATCCACTTCTCAAAGAACGTCTGCGATGGAACAGAGTATGTTTACTTTTTGTCCGTTTTATTATATAAGATTAAATTAATACATTAAGGAAAAAAACAACACCAAAAAAACTGAAGTTTTCAAATGTTAGAGTTTAACACAAATAATAAAAAATACAAGATGGGCATTATCAATTTACATATCATCTCCATTATTTAGTATTTAAATAGAGCTTTGCACATATTATTCCGTATTTTCCTGTATTATTACACAAACTTTCCGTTATCTACCTGGATAACTTTCTCACATGATGTATGAGTCGCTGGCGAGATTCGAATCCACAGTGGTGAGGGTCTTGTAGTTCAAAAAGAGTATTACTGTTAAATTTTAAAAGAAAGATTTCAGACATTGAGTTTCGATTTTATGATAGAGATAAGATACAAAATATATAGAAGTAAAATGCGTATATATGAATTAATACACAAATTTTGATACAGAATTCTAAATGTCTTTCAATTATAAAAGAAAATAATTATAACTACATTTATTAAGAAACATGGGCTACACCATGAATAAAGAATATCAGTTCGGAGAAATAGTACCTATAGCCCGTGCAAGAGCTAATTGCCCAAGTGGAAGTAAAATGTATGAAAATCTTCAACTGCAGACTGTACTTCAAGTAGGTCTTGGACAACGCTTGTTACTTAAACTTCAATGGGACAACAAATCACAGTCTTTGATATCGAAATGGACAAGAAATCATCATATCATTATATATGAAATATGACACTATAACGAAGAGGTTTTATATCTTTGGTGAATTAATGCTGGTGTGATTTGTTTGTTTTGTTTATTATTTTAGTTTTGATATAGTCGAATGTAGGACTTTTGGACGGTAAATTTTATTTACCTTTAACATGTATTACTAGGCTCAATGAATCCGAGTCGGCAACATGTCTCAATTTTGCTGTGATATGCAATCTTTTAAGGTCCATTATGCTTCATAAATGCTTTTACTTTTATTTCTCAAAAGTTTCTGTGTGCCTTTGGGATGGACTTTGCTAATCATATCATTTGATACATACATGTGTGTCATTTAAATACAATGTGTGCTATTCTACTATTAAAAATTAGGGCGTGTAGTAGCTGTATCCACGGCTGGAGAACACATAATACCTTAAAATTGAAAAAAGACGTTTGATACCTTCTAACTGTTCAATACTTCTTTGTGTGTGTCAGGGACGTCGTAGAAATTCGCCATATGATATTGATATTGTCGGGGTTAGAGAACATCTATAACTTTGTTCTGTTATTTAAACAAAGTACAAATAGTTCTTACAAACTATTTACATAACTTGAAAACTTTCTTATGATGTTTGTCTATTTATCAGTATAAACTACTTGTATAGAATATACTTTCAATATGCAATAGTATTAGGCAAAAAGTATTTCAAACACTAATCATTTATTAAAATTTAGTTGTTTGTAAAAAATACCAAATTTAATACTCATCGTTGTTATTAATTTAATGCTTTTTCTATCAGAGAAAATGAGACGTGGACGATTGTTTTTCTATCTGAAAAAAAAAAATCAATGTAGTCAATTGCAACTGTGCAACATTAAATTTAATTAATTTGAAGTTCAAAGTTAATTTATTTAAATCTATTTCATAGTTCGTGTTATTTAGTAATGCGTGATATACAAGCTTTGCTAACCATGTCAGTCCACTGATCATGTTGAATAAAACTTTCAAAATATGGTTTTTAACTTTAAACAGATGCTAAGCATTCACAATTAGCTTTGAATTCGTTATAATTAATGAAAGCCCTAGTACTTCTCAGATCCTGTACCGGATGTATGTTTCAGAATACAAACTTTAGATTTGAGATTATCATGTTGGTTTTGTTACGTTGCTTGACATAGTTTATGTCGATCTGATCCTAATCCAACTAATAGTATACGACGAGATATTGTGTAATAATATCTCCCCTCTACATATCTCAGAATCTAGCTTCTGCTGAATTTCAGTAAGAGCTTATCTGCAAGTAAATCACTATTAACTGTTTATCACACATTAACACGTCCACTGAGGTGAGAGTATTGTCATCACTTATTGGCCCTCTGTATGAAGTTTCTGTCGACGCAGCTTTTCAAGATACACACAGCTAATATAAGTGTTTTTCCCATTCTATTGCGGATATGTTTGCGGCACATTTGAATTGTGAAACTTATCAATTATTTGTTAATATAGTCTATATCACAACATTAATTTTAGCTCCTTTAAAATGAATTAAATGTATAAACATACCTTTATTAGTGATAATCATCTTCTAAATAAATAAAGTATGTAGTTAAATTTGTTTTTCGATTTGCTTGCCTTAAAGTCAGCCTTGTCAAGAACATGTCCATCGTTCTTGCGGTACAGCTGTACAGATTTAACATCAAAACAAAAGAAAATTGCCTTAAAGCAAATTTTTAAATAAATTTTCCTAACACATACATGTAAGATTATAAATTCTCTAATCAGATGACATTTATATAACCCATGAGTACTTGCCAATGCACTGTTGCTTTTAACATGTTTTTATTCAAATAAAGTAAATCCAGAAGTATATATTAAGTAATATAATAATGATGTTTCAGAAAAGTGGTAATGTGCAGGACTTGGATTCTGAACCTATACAGTCACCGGATCTTTAATTTGCCTAGGTGCAAATAACTGGTGTATGAGCCCTCAATTGAAAGTAATTTCTGTTGAAGGTATTGTATCGTCCTCGCAACAAAAAGGATCACTATATACGTCGAATTAATAATTGTCTTAAACGTAACCTAGAATAAACATCCAAACTGCATCTTAACATTAGGTGGGCTACATTTAGTCAATATATCTTCTATGTGCAACATGGCATAAATTGTATTTAGCCTTTTTTTCCCCTTTTTCCGAAAATTATAGTGTTAAAAGTTAGCATGACGTTATCAGCAAACAAAAATTGAATCGTTCAATACGACAATGCAATGCAGGTGAATAAGGGGTCAGGGAAATAAAAATGAGGATTGCTTTTACACCATGGGAAAATATTTTGAATATTTTGAGATATTATTTATATACTTTCATCATTGATTACTAATATTTTACAAAATATAAATATAACACATTCTATCATGTTTGTAAAACTAAGTTTATAAGGAATTGGTTTATCATCATTTTTGACACTTAAATATATGATGTAATTAGTTTTTGTCTTAATATATTTGTCATAATATGAAATTACAATGCCCCGAGCTTAGATATTTTGCATGTAGCATTGCCTTGTTAACATCTACAACACTGGTTGTAACAATGACCCTTTGGTTCAAAATAGGCACCGCCACGTGAGTCACTGGGTTGATATAGACTACTATAGGGAAATATATTTTAGTAACTACAATGCCCAGAGCATTCAAATTTGACATATAGTAGTCCCTTGTATACATCCACAATGCTGATATAAACCCGCCATGAAAAAATAAATAAAAAGAATTCCTATCCAAGTTTTAAGGGATTGTATTTTAAGTTTTACAAAAGAACAATACGTGACATAGCATATACATGTATAAAATTTATATTTCATTTGCTCCGAGTGTTGACAGAGCTATCTTGAGCCTTTTATATTTAAAACTTTTGGAAACTAATTGTAACTTTATCATTGAATGCAAAAATACTAGTTTCTAAGCTTTTAATATATTATTTCACACTGGATGAAATTAATCAATTGAAAATATATTAAGTTATTTTTATGGGTATGGGGGGGGGGGGGGGGCATGGGTCTTTAAGGGATTCACGATTTAAGGTAATTGAAACGAAAGTGAAAGAAGTTTTTAAGGAAAATTAAAAAAAAGTGTTTCTTTTTTTAAAAAAAAAGCAAATAAACAAAAACAAACTGTACTCTATAAAAAATTGTTCTCCCATTCTAATCATTTGTTTATAATGGTGTTGCATAAATAGAAATGAGCAAATGTCTTAGAGAAAACCAGTTATTATAATAAGTCAAAGGGTTTTTTATGAATTTATTGACAATAATTTGGACACTCCTTCCCAGGAAAAATATGTACAAAAAAAAATAATCGAAAATTTATAGAATTTTAAAGTGCGTCTTTATCTCCCTTTATAAAAGTTTATATAAATTTACAGAGAAAACTTTACGGTTTTATTCTTTTCCCCTGAGAAAAGCATCCCCTTTTAAAATTTTCATTAAAAAAAAATTGGCTCTTTTGGGAAAATCAGCCCACATTATTTCCCTTTTTTTTCCCTTTT